ATAAATAAATAAATAAATAAATAAATAAATAAATAAATAAATAATAATGTTGTAAGAGACCTTGGAGGTCATTCTAGTCCAACCCCCTGCTCAGGCAGGAAACCTTATACTATTTCAGACAAACGGCTGTACAGTCTCTTCTTAAAACCTCCAGTGTTGAAGCATTCACAGCTTCTGGAGACAGGTTGTTCCACTGATTAATTGTTCTAACTGTCAGGAAATTTCTCTAAGAACTAAGGTTCTTAGGTTGCTTCTCTCTTTGGTTAGTTTCCATCCATTGCTTCTTGTCCTGCCTTCAGGTGCTTTGGAGAATAGCTTTACTCCCTCTTCTTTGTGGCGGCCCCTGATGATTGAAGAGATCTTGTGTTTTACATCCATTCAACCAAAGTTAGCATTATTATGGGTGAAACTCCTGGAAAACAATCCCCTTTCTCAACCATTAAAAAAGGTGAATTCAAGAACCATGTTTAGATAAAGAAAGTCCCATAATAAAAAGTTGATGATAATACATTTTTATTTATCTACTTATACCATATAGATGACCGGTTACTTGGACAGTGAGAATTTTAACGTGCTGTATCAAATAAATCAGAATGCATTAGGTTTGTAGACCGACTCTTGTTTAAATATGCCTATCTTCAACTCTTTGAAAAAGCTACTAGCAATTCTCTTTCATCTGAATAGCAAAGGATAAACCTGCGGTCTAGTAGACTTCAGTGAACTACAACTCCCAGCATCCCTCATGCTAACTATTCATTTATTTACTCATTTGTTCTTTCCGTTTTCACTGCAGTGGCTTGGACTTCTAGACATTGTAATCTAGCAACATTTGCATTTACTCTGCATAGCAAACGCTACGTGATGCCCTCCAGATGTTTTGAACTTCAACTTCCACAAGCTCTAGCCAGCATGGCCAATGGCAAAAGAATGTGGGATTTTAATCCAAAACATCTGGGAGACACCAGGTTGCCTGTTTTACAGGGTGGCAAAATATAGATCAGAGTTGGAGTTACTGAATTAAGCATTAGTATTTGAGGCCCAGGTAAGGTAAGGAACACCATTTTTTTCTGTGTTAAAGGGAACGAATTTGATGTTAGTCTTTTGAAATATCTAGTGCAATAACTACGACCAATTCACTGCCATATATACTTTCTAGCGTGAATTCAAGCAAAAATCCTGACAAGCAACTGGTATTTTGGCATTGGGAGATATTATGTGAGAAATTGACAAGAAAATCCCAAAGGTGTAGATTAGAAGTACAAATTCAGAACTGTCCACAGAAGACTTTCATCATTTTTAGGGACAGAAGGCAGAGATGATTAAATATATGGAGAGCATCCCTGTTAATGACTTTGAGTCAATTTAATTTAATTGGAATGAAATTGAAATTTTGTCTTGAGGTTGCCCAATTTTCAGCATATGACCTCCAGTTTTCACTTTAAAGCCAATGGCAGCCCTTGTCCCACCCAAAAAAAAAGAGAGCTGTAAAGCCTGTCCATATGTGGTTCTCATTCCTAGACATAATTTCAAATATAAGACTACCCCTAAAACTAGCAATTGTTGGGGTATCTCAGCTATTTGCTCCTAAGCCCTCACTGCTGAGACCACTTCAGGACCAATTTCCCGAAAGTTGGTTGAGAAACTGCAGACAGATCCTTTCCAGTGCATATCCTGGACTGCAGCCAGCTGATTGATTCCTGCACTGTAGGGGGGGGGAGTGGAATCAAGAATAATCAGAAAATTAGGTGTGTGAGAGAGAGGGGGGGGGAGGGAGGCAGGGAGGGAGGGAAGGGCATGCAAAGGGGATAGGTTATATAATGACTGGCCTAGCTTATCTTAGCTTATTGCTGTTCAGTTTGTGTGCAAGTCCTGGAGTTTTGAGATTTTACACTTTTAGTTCTCATTTATAAAGATGTTTTTTTAAAAACCCAATTAGCATAAATGTTCCCAAACAGGGCAGGAGCTAATAAAAATAAATTTCACACAATTTTTAGGGGAGGTGAAATGGAAGTGCTTGGTCTTCGAAGGAAATTAAGCTGTAAGTGCCAGAACAGAAGAGAGTCAGTTTGGTCCAGGGCTTAAAGTATTGGACTAGGAGTGAGAGAACCTGAGTTTTATTCCTGTCTTAGACCAAGAAGCCAACCAAGAGTGACTTTGGGCAAGTCACTCTCTCTCAACCATAAGGAGATGGCAATGGGAAACCACTTCTGAAAATGCTGCCTAGAAAACTGCAGAGATTTGATCATGTAATTGCCAGGACTCAGGGTTGACTTGAAGATAATAAATGAACAAAGTATGCAGAAAAGTAAATAATTATGTTCCCCTTTCCTTCCTCTCTCCTCATGGCAATTTTTTTACCATGCCCTCTTTAGGATGTGCTTTCATCATTTCTTTATGCTAGAAAATGTCCGGCAGACCACAAAACCTCTAGCGTGCCAATGTTTTTAACAGATTACAAAATTCAGGGCAGATTTTCATGCCAGCTATAAGGGAACAGAACCCTTCCTCTTTACAGTTACAACAAAAACAAAATAGGGTATTCTTAGAAAAAAACGCTTTTATTAATAAACCTTTTGCTGAAGTGTAGATTTGGGGTCCCCAACCCCCGGTCCATGGGCCGGTACCCAGCCGCAGCATGCCAGCAACTGGGCCACACAAACAATCAAAGCCCCACCTGTGGGATGCAGGCAGCACACCAAACCACACACCCCTCTGGTCTGCGGAAAAACCTGTCTCCGTGTAACCGGTCCCTGGTTCCCAAAAGGTTGGGGACCTCTGGCATAGATGAACAAGGCTGAGTTCCTAGACAACACTGTGGCATGAGATGAGCCTTCTAATGACACAAGCGCCAAAAGTTTGCAAACGCAAGGAATCTCAATCTATGCCCGTCATTACCATGAACAAGGAATTTCTGTTTAAAGGCAGCTTTGCTCCAAAACAGAGCAAGGGGAGAAGGAGGAGGAGGAGATTTGCCTTGGCTGACTTTGTGTAAGACACTAGCTGGGAATATTGTTTGCATAGTAGTCACAAACATTTCAAGATGAACTTACTTTTGTCATTTCAGAATGGAAATCAAAACACAGCCTGCTTTTGAAATTCACATCCAAATTTCATAAAGCAGTCGTTTAAGCCTTTTTCAGAGAATTTTGTTTAATACACACTTATAAAATTGCATACACTGAAAAATTCTGAAAACGTTTGCAGCTATTTGTACCAATAAGATGCAGAAATGAACTGCATTGGGGGGGGGGGTACAAATGTTTGCAACTTTTTCAGCATTTTTCAGTGTTTTTTTTTTTTTTTAAATGCAGCAGTGAACTGCATTGTTTAAAAAAAATACTTCCATGGAATGCAGGTGGAACAATCTTGTTATGTAAATGTAAATAAGGGGATGATTGGGCTCAAAACATTTATTTGAATTTTATTTTTTCATCAAAAATGAAAGTTAAAACAGGGCCAACAGAGCATTCAATAAGTGAGACGTCCTTCATCTTTCTCTATGAAGAAGGCAAAGACATATTTTTAAATATCTGAAATTGCAGACCACAGGAAAGCCTTACAAAAGGCTTTATTTCATAAAACCCAGACACTTAACAATCAATGCCTATCTGTTTGTAGAGAGCAAGATTGAGAGGGGAGATTTATGGTCTTGAGGGCCAAAGGAAGGATCAGCCCAAGGTTATATGGAAGAGTTAACAGGCAATCAATGAAAGCATATATTGTGTACCTCCAGTAATACATAAGCACACTTTTTAAAGGTGGTGCACAAGGATTTGGCAGATAACTATTAAGCGGGGAAAATATTAGCTAAGACAGTTGCATACTCTGTGTTCACAGCACGGATTCATGCACATACCTGTGTGTGCCCCATCAACCATCCTGGGTTTCTCTTGGCAAAGCTAGCTTTGAATAATTCTGTCAAAATAAGGGGAATCTAAAGTGTGGCTTCTGATGCATCACAAGAAATATCCCTTTAGGAACAATTCAAAAAAAAAAAATTACACTATGTTTGGCCTTGCACCAGGTCTTGGAGAGAAAGAGAGGGCATCGCTTGCAATTCTGAAACAAGCCAAGGAAGGCAGCCTCAGCCGAAGCCCCATGTATATTTTTAAATGCCCTAATTATAGTGAATAAATCCCTCTGTTTAAAAACAATGGGGGACATTTGCCATCCACATACAAGTGGTGCTCCTGATTTTAAAGGCCATCACACCAGCAGCACCGCAATCTCTTCCCACCCACAGTATATACCGTCCTCCAAACAAATCTGGATGGAATCTCAACATGTCTTTCTAACTTGTCCCCAAACCACTTTCATTTTCTTCAGTTCTGCTTTCTAGGCCAACAAAGGTGAGAGAATGTTTTCCCTGCTTTGCTTTTCCCCACATCTTTGACCAGGTAGCCACATTTGGAGGAGACTAAGGAAGAAAATCAACCTGACTGAAATCTAAGAAGTTATTTTTTTTTTTGCCCCTCAACCTTGTTATGTTCACCAAATCAAGGGATAGTCAACAAATCCTGCACTGGTGAAACTGGAAAGGTTCCTCCATCCAGGTCACAGAAGAGAATCAATTTTTGGTCTATTCGTGTCAGAACCATCGTGATTAAAATAAGGCGTACTCTATGACATAACATTTAAAATATAAAATACAGTAAAATATGTACACATTAAACAGATCTTGCCCAGAAACTAGCAACAATAATTGTGTTCTCTCACGCTGCCATAAGGTCAAGTGTACACTGATCAGGATACAAAGGAGAGGTCTACATATGTGTTGTTGTCTGCATGTTGCCACAATCGCAAAGAACAGAATCCACCAGAGAGCCTCATTTGTTTAGAGTGTCTCTGGACCTTGATGTACCCGTGCGTAGTCTATTCAACAATTTCCATACTTCCCAGCTTCCCAGCATAGTTGGTGCATTCCAATATCCCCCAAATGCAGAAAAATTGGAAGTCTTTTTAGGATGGCCATTTGCATTTTATCTAAAGCATTGCTTTCTCTTGCCCGTAACTCTCACAGCAGGAGACAGGCTCAGAAACCACTTTTAAGTCCACGTGTTAACATGTCGACATGGAAGATCCATGACCAGTTCTCCAGATGTCTTTTTCTTGACTTCAAAGCAGCTATGAGGCACTGTTAATTTGATCAGAGAAACAAGGAGTGGGGTGAGGGGAGAGAAGGAGATGGTTAACCCCTTTCCTACCCTGCTGTTTTCCTGATAGGAAGCACCAAGGGTGGCTAGAAACTGGGTGGAGGTCCTGGATTGGATACAACAGAAAAGGGTTAACCCCATCCCTTTCCAGCAGCCTTTCCCTGATCAGAATTAGTAATTCAGTGGATGTTCTGAAGTCAAGCATAACATTCTGAGAGATCTGGTCAGAGTTATCATGCATAGCTGGACCCCAAGGGCCAAAATAGAATAAATCAAATTATTCTTCCCCCCCAAAGACCTATATTATAATTAGAAGGCTCTGTCCTAGCCTTCAGTCTTGAAAGAATGGAGGGGTGGGGAAATTAACCTTTTCTTTCTTGTAATGGCCTTTAGGAAAATCTCTTATTTGCCTTTAGAAGGAATCAAAGCATGGCATGTTAGCACTTCATCAGCTTGTTGACATTTTTTACATGGGGTGGAATATCTTCCAATTTCCTGGGATATATCTAAGTACAGTATTGAAGTGGTGGTGGTGGGGTGGGTGGGGGAACAGAAAAAGAATTAGCATCAAAATGAAAAAAAAAAAACTTCAAAAGTACCAGAACTGATATTCTGGCAGTCATAGGGAGGAACATTTCAAATTTACTAAGGGTAACAAGAAAAAGAAAGGAAAAGAAAAAAAAAGAAAAGAAAAGAAAGGGTTTCCAGCAACACAGGCCTAGCTTGGCTATTGTTTAAAATCTATTAGAACTGTTTATCTTTATTTGCAACTTTTGGATGTTTTGGTCTCCCAGTTCATCAGCTTCTGACAGCATACTAAAATCATACAGTTGTTATGTGAAATACCTGATGGGTCCCATGTTGCTTCTTTCTCATCTAGATGAAGCTGCATTTTAAACTTTGATCTGATGCATCCAAAAACATTAAGAGGCTGACCATCTAAGAAGAAAGGATGAATTGTACACTTTGTTTCATTGTCTAAATGTTTCAACTAATGATCTCATTAAGAGTCCTTTGATAGCTTTATATAATGCATTAGAGCTACATGTAATCCAGACAGGGTATGGGGAATAGGATTGGATTGTGGGTACTTTGCACTTGTTAAGAGAATTTAAATGTTAAAAGTAGGGTAGAGTTACATATACTGTACATGCCTAAGTGATCAAATCATTATATATCTAACATCTGGTCTGTGATCTCTGAGAAGCACGCCCATTTCAGCTGCTTTCATTTAAATCAAAAAGGAAGTGCAGTTCAAAAGATCCCCTCTCTCATTTAGAAAGTTTTTTATGTGTTTAATTTCCTTGGGGGGGAAAGGATAACTGGCCCACAATGAGACTGAGTGGCAAGATGGAAGGTGAGGTATTAAATATGTTGATGGACTGGTAATCAGAAGGTGGAACCTGAGGATTTCCCCCCAAAATACAGATCTTTTATGAAAGCAAAAACTTTAGTAGTAAAGGGAGGAATGCACATTAGTGATAAAATGTGTGAATGTGGCATCTTAATAAACTTTAAGCAATTTATTGTCTCTCATTGTGGAATTCTTAAGTTAACCACATTCCACTTATCTCCAAAGGATTTACATTTCATTTTCTGAAGTTCTCTAAACAAACAATTGTTTGGTAATATTGTTCCAATAGAAATTGCAGGTGAGAAAATGGCAATCTATTGTATTTTTAGCCCAGCTATCTACGCGAAAGTTGTTCACGGGGTGGTACAACACATCAGTTTACATGAATGAAGGAGTGCACCTTTTTTTTACAAAACAAAAAATCCCCTGCATTTAAAAAAATTAAATTTGCCAGGAGAAAGTTATTTCTTAACCTTCTTCTTTGCGTGCTAGCTGTCTGCATGCAGCCTTTTCCTATTACTATATTTTTCAAGGGAAACATTATTTCTTAACACCTCACACCATCTATCAAAAAAAAAAACCAAAAAACAAACCCCAAAACCAAAAAACCCTCACATTATTAGCACATGGACTTGGCCTTATGCCAAAGAGCCACATCTATTGTGTTCAGTTTGAGAGGGAAAAGAATTTAACCAGGAAGGTCCTTTTTTGCTGCCATCGTCTCATATAACCAGGGGTATCTACAGAGTATGACCCAAAAAGTCAAGAGGGTGGCCATGATGATACAAAGCTCAACCTTTTTTTGGTGTCCAGTGCACATAAATGACAAGCGGAGTTTCAATTGCACTGTTGTGGCTGCTATCTTGACTTTTTAGACCATATCCTGAGGAAGTTCTGCTTGTACACCAAATTATTTTCAGATTCACTATGAAAACCAACCTAAAAGTTCAAGTTTGTTACTGATGTCTCCCTCTGGCTTTCTCTTTTTTTCTAGGCATTCTCAGGAAGAAAGCTGGCGAGCCCCATGCTTTTGCCTTTCCCAAGACACACTTATTCAGAAAGTCAGGGCCTGGACATTCATGCTGCTTCATCGCACTCAAGATACGATCGGCCCTGCCATCTTGGGGTGGGGTGGGGAGACTGGGAAAGGAAAGCCTAATGTGGATCCAGGATTGAGATGGCAGATTTTTCATATTTGCCTTGGGATGAACTGGGCACCAGATGAGGCAGTGGCCTGAAGCTTGGCTCATAATAAGTGGATCTCGACAGGTCTAATGTAGAACTCTTTGAAGAGCTAATTTATTTTTGAATTTGCAGGTTAAGAATCCCTTTCTTCTTATTAGACCCTCTTGCCTGACATTCACATTTCCTACATATTTGGCAGTAGCCTCCCATTTTCCCAATGATAGTTCTCTTCACATCGATGGCTCTCTTCCTTTTTTTTATGGGACTGTACAGAGACTGCTGCTTTGCCAAAACCATACTAATACTCTAAACCAGACATGTCAAACACAAGGCCCGGGGGCCAGATGCGGCCCACGAAGTGGTTTCATGTGGCCCGCGAAGCCATCCTGGAAACAGTGAGGGAACGGCCCCCACTGCCTTGGCCCTGGCCCAGGCTGGCCGGGAGCCAATGTACAATTTTATGGTGGCCATCTATGCTGAAACACATTCAGTCTTAGCTCCACAAGGCCGTCTGGAAACAGCGAGGAACCAGGCCCCCACAGGCACCCTTGATGCAAACGAAGTAGAGCTGGCCATACCCACCCAGTAGGCCATACCCACTCCATCCACGCTCACCCAGTAGGCTGCACCCACCCTGGCCACACCCACCCGGCCCTCTGAGGGCAACCACAATGCTGATGCAGCCCTCAATGAAATTGAGTTTGACACCCCTGCTCTAAACCCTGAAGGACTTAAATGCTTTTCATGCAACTTTCCTTCTGACTTCAGCCAGGGCTTAATTTCTGACCAGAGAACTGTTGTGAAGCCTTGCGTCTTTCTCTCTCTCTCTCTCTCATCAGCAAAAGAAATAGTTGTGTATATTCAGAAGCAGGCTTCCTATGATGTCATTTTCATGGCTTCAGATTAAATCTTGGTCCTGGAAAAAGTTCTCAGAATGGGGTGCTTTGGTACTAGCATTGTGCTGAAAAAAGTCTTCCGCACTTTATCATTCCCATTCAATGTGATGGCAAAGAAGAGCAAGGATGAAGGTGGATTCCCTAGAGTTACCTTCGTAGGGAGATGTTCATTGGCCATCTGCAAGTATTCAGTCTTCCATCATGGCATCATCTCTCCAGTGATGTGTGATCTCCTTGGCTTCCCATGCTTCCATCCATCCCAAGGGAAGGCACTGGGGAGAGCTTCTCCTGTGAGGTTTTTTAAAAAAAATAATAATCAGGAAATCAGGAAGCAACAAAACAGCACAGAATGACATAATGGGAAACAAAAGGAACCCCCTTGCCCCCTCACCACCAGAAGGGCAGAGCACAAAGAAAGAATCCGAAAGTCTGCTGTGAACAAAGTAGAAAAACTGGAGCCTTTTTCACAGAGGTTTTTTTAATAACAATTTTGCAATGGTATTATTTCAACTGAGATGGCTGGCAGAACTGCGAATTAGAATTGGGCATTTTGCCTTCTTTGGTGCCTTTTTGCTTGTAAGAAGTGGGGAGGGAGTGGTGTGATTGTGGGAAGGTTTGGGAAGGGAAGGCTACGTGAAGAAGACCGTGTCTGCATCCCGTGCCAATTACTTTCAAATTCTTGTATAAAGACAGAATGATTGCATAAGAGAAGAAGAGCTTTGCCCGCAAGCATCCTGACAGAAACCTGGTTTGTATTAAGTTTTGGCTCCAGTTTTCTCAATCTAAACTCAGTTTGCACGTTCTAGCAATCCCACCACAACTGAAACAGCCATGTTAGGTCCCACTGGGATAAGCCTTAAGTAGGCATGGTGTAAGACAGCTACTCTTTATGGCAATAGGGTGAACATAGCAGCACAGAAAGAACTAAATACTTTTGCTTGGTTATATCAACGAGCTTAAAATTGTAGCAACAAGGTAAAGAATTAAAGGTCTTCACCTTCACCAAAAGCTCAATTCTACGGGTTGTTTGTGGGACAGCAAGGGTGAGAATCAATCCATGCTTCTACTTTAGCCATATCACTTATGAATGCAGGGAGCATGCTCTGCAAATACAGGGTCAATCTTTGCATCACTAGCTGCATGCTGAACTACAATTCCCAGCATCCCTTGCCATTAGGCTTGTTAGCAGGTGCAACCAGGGGTTGCAGTTCAGTCACACCTATTTGTTTACTCTTCCCTGAAGTTCAAGAATCAAACCAGTGGAGGATCCACAACAAATCTGTTTCAATCACCAATGACTCTGATCCCCAGAGGATATTCCCTCAGGTTTGATGAACAGTCTGATTCAGCTTTGTATTGCTTCTTAACTATGAAGAATTAATAAGTTTGATCATCATCAAGGGATGACTTTGATCTGAAAAGAGGAAACTTTTTTAGTACATTGTAACCTGTATGTTATTTGAGTTGTTAAAATTCTTTTAACCAAGACTTTGTTGTGCAGGCTTTATTTATAGACTTACACAGAACTATTTTATGATCTATATAAAGAATTATAGCACATGCAAGATCCTGTTGAAAACAAGGATGGGGATGGGTGCATAGTAAAAAAAAAAAAAGAGAGAGAGTTGGATATTTCCATTTCTGTTATACCACTCCCCCCCCCAATCTTGCTCTACCTGTATTGTACTACTATTCCTAACTCCCATTGGACATTAACAAGACCGGAGAAACAAATAGTTTTTCAGCTGCTTGTATGCTAATTCTGCTAGACATAAATCAAGAAGCAAAGGGATCCTAGTTCTTTTTCAAGTAGCTGTTTTTGTGCCATTCAAACCAGTTCCACCTGCAGGCATTAGCAGTTGACCAGAATGCTCATTTCTATTTCATGCATTTTTCTTCCTGCTGATTTCTGAAGATGAGGAAGAATTGCTTAAAAGATCTACTGTCCTTAGAGTGGTTTGCCCAGTTTTGAAGCAATAGGCCCATCTCAATAAATTAAAATGGTTCTAGAAAGCTTGCAAATGCCTTTGCTCCTCTGCCAATAGCAGCATTCTGACACAGAAAATAAGCAGGGGATTCTTGTAAAGTCTTGACAATAAAGGAATACATGTCCCCTAAATTTCTACATTTCACCAAAGGGCACACAATCTGAAGGCCCTGCCAACTTCATGCAATGTCCTCTGAATTATGCTAGGCTATAATTCCATTCTGGGTTAACTCACCTGAGAATTAAGCCAGTCTCCTGAGACCTCAATAGCCTTAAGAATCTAAAAAGCACTGCCTCAAAATGCAGTCCCGTTGCTTAATTTCCTTTGAAATATTTATGCCAGGAAACAACAAAGCTGAAGACTTTTTCCTTCTTTCTTCACTCCAGATGTATCTTTAGGACAGGCACCAAGGTTAATTCTCCCCCCCCCCACTGTTGCACTTGAGCCATTGTGACATCAGAGTAAACTGCACCAATCAGGGACAGCTTTCACATTTAACCCCACCCACTCCCAACAGTGATCAGGTTGTAGCAATATCCTGCAACAAAAAGAGCCATCTTAGGATGGGAGGCTGAGAAACTGAATCAAAATCAGAATCAGAATAGAGTTGGAAGGGACCTTGGAGGTCTTCTAGTCCAGCCCCCTGCTCAGGCAGGAGTCCCCATATCATTTCGGACAAGTGGCTGTCCAGTCTCTTCTTAAAAACCTTGAAGGACCCCACAGATGTTCTAAAATTTTGCAGTGGACAATGTGATGCAATATGAGAGCCAATTGGGTTGAGTCATTAAGGTGAAAAACTAGGAGGAAGGAAATCCAAGTTCTCATCCTGGTAACTTTGACCCAGTCACTCTTTCTCAGCTCTAGGAAGAAGGCAAAGACAAAACTTTTCCCTAAAAATGCTCCTTGGAAAATTGATTTGTCCATTGTAGGAACCGGGAGTCAAGATCGACTCAAAGGTAACAAAAATAATAAAGGAGGTATTTTTTTTAAAAAAAGTAGTATTTTTCAAATGTATACCTTCCTCATCAATTGAAAATAGATCTGAAGATGAAACTTTGAGCATGGGGGTGATGCAATATCTCACTGTACAAATCCCCAATGATCTTAGAGTAAATGCAGATGGACAGTTTAATCTAACATCATCTGGAGGATGGTGCCTCATCACAGTGCAATCAAGGGTCTGTCCATGTTTTAGATATGTGCTGGAGCTTCAATAGCCCAATTTTGGCTACCATCTTGTCCTTTCTGACCACATTCTGCAGAAACCTCGAGGTGTTACAACTCCTCTCTCTATATTGTTTAGCAGTTTGCTTTGCAATCTGCATGATAACCTCAGGACAAGTGAGGAACCAGTTGTTTTGGGTCAGATAGCAAAGTCACAAACAGTGGACAAAATGCTTTGCTTTTACTAACTACAGGCATCTGATGAGACAGCCCTTCCAAAACTCCAACATGCAGTCCAATTAGATACCCCTTGATTTTTATTTTTATTTAAAACCCCACAACCTCTCCATTTTGGGGCATTTTTATTCCACTATATCTGCTTTGGGTTCCTCACCTCCCTTGGGACCGTACAACATGCAAAACTGGTTCTCTCATAAGGTAATAGATGTGGGGAGGTGACAATAAAATTGAGAAATCTATCTGCCACTTGGCCCATCCAGAACTCTCCAGGTTCCGCTGCAAGAGTGAATTTTGTTGGTCAATGTTGGAGAAGGATTCAGCTGCCAGCCTGTAGAAAGCAGCAGGGCATCATGTTTATACCCAACACATATAAGATACTGTAGAAAAGGATATAAGACCAAGTAAGGGAAGAGCCTGGCATGTGGGCCAGAGAGTCCCCTTTCCCATGTATGTTCTCCCAAGCTTCTTCACTTACATTGGACTATGATCTTTTTCAACTCTCTGCTTCCATGCCCTTCAAAACAATTTCATCTGCTGGCATTAACAAGTGTATTTTTTGTTTGCTTGTTTGATTCTAGCAGCCAGATTTCTTGAATCTGTCCTACTTCTTCAGAGTCATTTCAGTATCCTTTCCTGAGTTAGCCACCTTGATTACATCTTGGCATGGAGGTGCCATTGCACCAGAGAAACTAGACTAGGTATTCCATGCTGGGGCACCAACTCTGTTTTCCTGTCACAAGGTCACCAATACTCCTCACCTCAGGCTTAGGTTCTAGGCCATCATTTGCATAGGCAGAAATTCAAGCCTTGTTTCTCCAGACAAGAAGTGGGAAAACCTGGTTGGACAACACATCTGCAAAAAAGAAGCTATGCTGGTGAGATCCTCCATGACTGTCAGATGTGGTTACCTGCTGCTCAATGTGGAGGTGTGTGGGATGGCGTCTATGCTAGCTGCAGTAAAGATGAGTATGGAAGAATGCAGTTGAGGGCAGGTTAGTATGACAATTTCCTGATTGGAAACTGATCAAAAAGGAAGAAGTTGAGATTGTTCCCTATAATGCTGTACTTTTTGAATTTGTGCTTGTTAAGCAACGAAAGGACACACCTTTCTATTGAGCCCAACTATAGTTTGAACTCACTTTTCTTTATAGCCATTAATTGGGAAGGATCCTAGGAAGACTTCCTAAGGGAAGTCCAATTGTGATGCTGAATTATGTGTCTGTGGGCTTCCACATTTTTTTTTGATGCCTTACAGCTGTTGATTCAAAGTCCAAAGATGATGGTTGAATAGAGAAGCTTACACCACGGCAGGTGCTGTTATAAGAATCTGGAAGCAAGTGCAAAGTATTCACATGCTCTCCCCCTGCTGTCTTTTAAATTCCTTCTTTATCCCCTTTTCTTAGGTGTAGTGACTTGGGTGTCAAAACAAACCACTTTTCAAAGCTCTCAATGTTCAGTTTTACACTGAACCCAAATTGTGATGGCTCCGAGATCTCTAATAACAGAGGGCCTCCGGTAACAAATGCCAATTGTGTCTGAATCATCCAGTAGCTGTTCCTGGATGACATAGGCTTCAAGAGTGCTTGTGGCTTTGGCTTCATTGTGAATTGGAACCAAACGATGCAAACAAGGCAGCTTGAACACACAGGATTTTTCCATCACTCCATGATGAATGAGAAAATGAGGCTCTTTGTATCCTCTGGTTCTGAGAATAATTCTTTTTTTTTTTTCCCCTAACACTTTTCACTTTCTTGCATAATCTTCCATTTCCATTAACCCCACCCTGTGCCCTATATTTTCTTGGCATGTAGCATTCCCAAACTTTGATTTGCTATTTCCACAGTATCTTCATCCTATTTTTTTTTGGGGGGGGGCAAATACAAATATAACTTTCTTCCATCTCACTCTTCATTTGTGTATATGTGTATGTGTGTGTATAGACCATTTCTCACAATCCTAATAGAAATATTATTAAACATGATCTGCTGGCCTATACATTGTGCATTTCCATGAAGAATAAAGTTTGTACCCTTCGAGTTGCATCAGTTTGATCATATACCTGACACAATTATCTGGATGGCCATGAGAGAGCAACAGGAAATACTAACCTTTTGCTGCCATGTAGTGAAATGTGCACCTCTAGCAGCCATAATTGGTTATTGAAACTATTTTGCCCATTTTTTAAAGTAGCACCTTTACATTTACAGTGAAGTGCAATGCATAAATCAGTAATATGTACACCATTTCTCTAGAACCAATTCCCATGTCCCTCCTGCTATGTGTGAGCACATTTGAATTCATTTATGTGTACAGTGCATTGTGGGAATGTACCTTGGGAGACAGGTGCAGACACTGCTTAGTGGATGGTCAGATAAGAGACAACATAATCCATAGTTGTGTGAAGGTGGCGGAAAAATTGTACTTTCAGACTAGCAAAATTGATTTCAGACTTACCAGGTAGACTTACAGGAAACATGACCAGATCAGCTAGTTTTACTTTACTGTAAGGCTACATTAACAGAATCTTGCCAGTCTGAAAGTACAATCTCCTTCCATTTCCTTAACCCCTTCTCCCCCCCCCAATTAGAAAATGTCTCTTTTGAGTCTCTTGCCCCACCCACTAGCCAGATGCAGATTATGCTGTCCTTTACTTGACCATTCCCTAGACCAGGGGTAGGCAATCTTGGCACTTTTATGACTTGTGGACTTCAACTTCCAGAATTCCTGGCTCAGGAATTCTGGGAGTTGAAGTCCACGAGTCATAAAAGAGCCAAGGTTGCCTACCCCTGCCCTAGGCAACCTCTGGGCTAGTCTTCCAAGGTCATCCCCATATACCATTGCAATGTATGAGAATTGGTATAAGTGTTGATAATAATGAGTACTGTCTTTTACTGTAGTATCTCTGATTAATGGGACCCTGAAGCGACAGGGAAATCAGGAGAGCCAGGCAGTTCAAATGGGTATAAAAATTTATTGTAAGCTTAAGTTCTCTACAAGAATCTGAACAACTAATGGTCAAAAACAATTTGGTGGTAGATAAGGAATCCAAGGTGGGCTGGACTTAGATCTCTCATGGAAACGAAGGGATTCATGATTGATGACATGTTTGACCCCTTCCCTGGGCTCAGCCTGGTCATCTACAGATTCCAGTCAAAGATCTGCTTGAGATCTTCATGTTTGTGATAGAATGGGTAAGCTAGGAAATCTTGTTATTTTTTTCTACCACTGTTTTTAGAGACTATCATGACATCACAGAAAACTAATGCCCTTTGTGAACTTAAGAGGGAAACGAAAAGCATTGTGACATCACATGAAACTTAACCAATCATTCAGACTGAATAATGGAATGATGGATGTAGTCCTCTTATGGCCTTTCCCTCTGTGCTTGATCTCAGCATCAACACTGTGGATTCTTCTCAGTGTTCCTGGTTTAATCAGGAGACACGTTCCCCCCCCCCAACATTTGAAGTTTTTAAACCATGTTATTGGTACTGTCATAAAATGTCTATTACTGTGAGTATGGCCAAACACAAAACATCAATTTATCAGGGGACCTATTGGTAAGATCATTCCAGTACACACAGATGCACATGCTTCCCATGAAGCTTTGCACCATGTCATCTTCATCTTTTTCCTGAGCAGGTGAGTCTACAGGTATTTCCAAGTGAGGACATAGGCTACGGCTAACCACCAGTCAAACCAAGTTGGGCAGAAAACACAAGGAGCGCCAGACGGTATTGTTGGGCCTCTTCGTTCCTACATATGCTTTATTGCAGACCCAGGCTGTAGGTCCTCTCTTCCAAACTTTTCACCCCTGCTGTTTCTTATACTTGATTTTCTGACTAATAGGCTTCAAATAATTATTAGAAAAGAATGGCATTTCCCCCATGCAAAGCTAGTACCATGGGACAAAGATGAAAGATGCCAATTAAAAGAATTACAGAGCAGGACATTGGTTAGCTGAGACATTAGGGCATCATTTTCTTTGTGGTTTGGCCAAGCCGTGATACCCATTTCCCCTCTAGTTATGTGTATGGGATCTATTAAATCGTTTTAATACGATTGAAATATGATCTAAAGTTATGTCCTTCCAAATGGGCAAAGGCTGAATTGGATTGAGTGCAGCTAATAATGAGCATGATTAACAAATGGGTGGGATCACTAGCCCAACTTCAAAATATCTATGGCTGCCTTTTATTTACTTGTATTACTGATCCTGTTCGAGGACAATCAAATAATTATTTCCAAGGAAAACATATATTGAAACCTTTCTCACTTGCTGCCTAACAATTTTGATCTTGTGATTTGTCATTTGAATCCCAAGAAATCTGGAGGGCGCCAGGTTGGGGAAGGCTCTACTACAATAAGATTTTTATTTTTTAAAACCCCATGTCCTTGTTTCTATTCATCCTTCTCTTCAAAGCTGACATGAACTTGGGAATGTGTAAAGGGACACTGGATCTTCCAGCAGTCAATATTCATGCTACATTAAGGAATGTTTCCTCCCATACTCTTAAGAATATTTTCCATTATGGGCAGACTGATTTATAAGAATAACTTCCATTTTTCTTGTTCATGTTGAAACACTGCACATTTCTTTGACTTAGCTGGTCCTGCTTGTTTGTACACCCAATTTGTTTGGAAGCACTTAAAAGCTTTTCACACTTCTTTGCTTCTCCTTGTGTCCGGGAACTGGACCCTTGGTTTTCTTTCCGTGAACGTTAGATTGTCATATGAATGTGGCACATGTGAACTGTCATATATTTTGCACAAAGACAGCACACACAACCCTGGGAGTAATTGTTCTGGGTCCCCTGGCCAAAGAATGGTTGAATAATCAAAAGGATCAGATGGATCGATGCTTTGTATTCACAGAGGTACATTGAATCAATCACTTATTCCACAATTCTTTTGTCCTGCACTCATTGACAAAAAAAAAAAAAAAAGAGAGAGAGAGAGGCAAAGGGCAGATTTTTCTCACCTGATGCAGTTAGAAAATAGTTCTCTCTGTGTTTCTATAAACTGTCTGTTCCAGACCTTGGCAAGTCCTGTAAGTGACCCCTTGAAGTTTGTCTTTCAACATTTCAACTCCAGACTCACCACTTGGAGGAACCTAAATAGGTGCAAACAGGGATTTCCTGGTTTTCAGGTGGAGCTGAAGTTTTGTTCTCTCTCCCCCCCCCCTAACCATATGAAGTCTAATTTAGAGTCATGTTCAATGCTGTATGTTTACTTTCTTAAAATGTCAAGAAACTGCACTGCCCATTTTGGATCTGATACAATAAAAACTGTTTCCAGATTATCAGAACCTGTCAGTCTGGGGATGGCATTGTAATTTCTCTACTCAAGGATTTCATTTGGGAAGGGAGAGCTCCACAATCTGCCAGATTAACTCCCCCCCCCAAAAAAGACATTGAGCAAAAACAAATCCATTATTTTACATGTTGCATCTGAAATGAATGTCTGTCTTTTCCTGTCAGAGTGCTTCTGAAAAAAAAAATGCTATTCACAGCACTCCGACTCAATTCTTGCTTCATCTATTCCTCGCATCCATGTGGCAAGGGGGAGCTACAGTGGGAAGGTTCACGCTGCTGTGCGGCAGGACAGATCTGCATTGTGTTGCTGACACTGGAGGAATGTGAATATGTATGTGAATGCCATCAAATGTCTGAAAAATAATTCTGCTCTTGGCTGCGAGGGGAAAAAAAAAAGCAACATACTTGGGACTATAGCAAAGGCTCAATTTACTGGGTGGCTTAGATCCAGCACATGGTATATATTTTACATCCTTCTTCCATACCTTGCCCGGCCTCCCCCAAACACACAATCTCACTACGAGCAGTAAGAAAGACCCCTTTGAACATGACAAATGTCCCGCGTGGAAGATGCTTCAATTTAGGAATGTGTGGATCGTTGTCATGGGTGCCTCTCACTCACACACTGGGAGGCTGCGACTGAACGCAACTTTCCAGCACATGCAGACAGCAATGGATACGAAAGCAAAACAGATATGCACATTTCACATGAAGTGCCTTTCATCCGTAGAAAACTGGTTGTGCCAGCATCAGCCGCCTCTCTGATGAAATTAGAATTAGCTATCTTCCATTATTCCATGAAGATTGGATATAGTTATGGAAGATATTAACTCCTCATTTGAATAATGAGGCCCTTGCATAGGCACTTGTGTTGTTGCTTTAACAGGTACAGAAAAAGAAATCCCCCAAAAATGAAAGTTAGAGGGAATTCAAATGCCACATACTGGTTGGGGTAATAGAGGAACAATCTATCTTGCTCACAGTATCCATCCCCCATTCCCCACACCTTAAGTTTACTCTTTGGAATAAGGCTGCCTATTTTTATGGATCTGGACAAAACCAACCAGCCACAAGCACCACACGGTTATGCATTTTCATAGTGCCTTGATGCTGGAGGAATGGTCAAGTCAAGGACTCAAGTCCACAAGGAGGTGCAATTTGTTCCCACAAAATCCTATGGAAGATAGAACAAAGTTTGTGCCTGTGTGATCTGTGTAATAGTGCAAATTAGGAAGGTCCAAGACCAAAAAGGTGTAATTGGGGCAGTGGTTAATAGAAACTGGGCTGGGTCAGTTGTATAAAGATGTTGGTTATCGTCTGACATCAAATATTTGTCTTCTCCATGCACAGTCCAGCTCCTTTGATGATGGGACATCCTCAACCGAGGGACCAAGTTTTGTTTTAAAAAAGAGAATGACTTGGGCTCCTGTACAGCAGGATCACTCTATGGACATCTTTGGTTCTGGAGGGGAAAGGCACCACCCCGACATCCGAGTAAAATGTCCAGTTTGGCAGTCCATATAGCTGCTCTCCTGTGTCCTCTATTTCTGTTGCTTGCATTGGCAGAATAGTGCACATGGTAACACCCCAGGGATAGCTATTAATCCTGGAAGGTCTGCCACATGCCTCCTTCTGCAGAGCCTCTCTGCCTGCACTTGGAGTCAGTTTTCCAGCTTTGTGGCTGAGGGTAATATGGGCTGTGCCAGGACTGTGATACAAGTAACAAGCCACAATGAATTATGTGTTCTTGGTGGATGATAGAACAGCTCTTCATTGGTTCATGGGTTCTTCTTCCATTGGTTCTCCTTGCCGCCTAAAACAGAAGAAGCCAGGACATTAAGGGTTAGGAAAAGACAAAGATCAAGTCGCAGCTAAGTCACTTGCTTGGAGATAAATTGGTCAAACATTCATTCCCTCTTCCTGGGGAAGCTTGGGACTTGTAGTTCTGGGGGGGGGGGAGGAAGGGGGAGGGAGTCAAAGGAAGCAGAGAGCTGTCTGTCAGAATGCTGAGTTGTCCCAGGAACCTATCTACCACCAACTGCATCATAATGCACTGATAACAAAACGTCCGTAATGTGCCTCACATAGGATTGCTCTTGAAGGATCTCCTCAAAGTGCAGAATGTAGCAGAAATTGCCCCAAATACAACAGGATGGAAGAGTATTTACATGCTTGTATTAAATAGCTTGGGGATGTTTCCAGGATAAAGGTCAGTCTGACCTTAAGGTAAATTCATTTCTGCCCCTTAGATTTGGCTCTGGAGAGCATGCTCTTATTTTTACTTAGAGGCATGAAGTAAAGTAAGTAGGAATTAATTAGCTTGGGCTAACCTTGTCTTCCCTAGCCATGTTTCTTCCACATGACTGCACAGCTGCTACACTAAATTCACTCTATCCTCCCAACAGTCTTAAAAGGTACAGGGGAGCACGGACTTAAATTCATGTTTCCCAGATCCAAATCAAACACCGTTATTTGTGATGCTGCTTTTTCCAAAACGGTGGCTCTCCCCTTTGTGGGTCAGATTTGATCAATTCTGCATGCCTCTCTGAGCTGCAACTTGGACCTGGCTCATCTTGTAGGCTGATGCACCGCAGCTATTTTTCAAGACCAATTTGCGAGAAGTCCCCACGTCTTGAAAGCGGAGCTGCATGCAGCTGGTAATGGGAAATCTTCCTTCTGCTCTTTTGGCGAGGGGCGTTGAGTTAAAATGCCCCAACAGGCAAATAGTTCTTCAAAATAAAAATGGGGATGTGATAGGGTTGGCCTTTGATTAGTGCTGTTGCCCAAGGCATTTGGACTTGAGTAGCACCTCTCGCACAGGTAGGTTAGTCTCGGCAACCTAGCTTCAACATTTGATACCCTTGTCTTTCCCGATAGCCACAGTGCAAACTGGAGGTCCATTTTAATAATTAAGGGACACACTCACTTTTTTTCTGCCATTACAGAAAGTGAGGCCAGTGCTGTCACTGTCTCCACCTCTTCCACATCGTGACGTTGGGCTTCCAAAACTGAATATCCTACAGTGGAGGCAAAACGACGTACAGAGCTCCAGTACTGGCCTGGAAGAGAAAAGGCAGGATGTCCATTATGGCACATGATGCACAGAGGGACTCACATTGAATCCATAAGTCAGTCAGTCAGTCAATCAATCAGAAAAGAGCTGGAAGGACTTCTAGTCCAGCCCCCTGCTCAAGCAGGAGAACCTATATAATTTCAGATAAATAGTTGTCCATTCTCTTCTTAAAAACTTCCAGTGATGAAGCAACCACAACTTTTGAAAGCAAGCTGTTTCACTGATTAATTGTCCTCACTGTTAGGAAGTTTCTCCTTAATTCCAGGTTGCTTCTCTCCTTGGTCAGTGTCCATCCATTGTTTTTTGTCTTGCCCTCTGGTGTTTTGGAAAATAAGTCAACCCTCTTCTTTTTGTGGTAACCTCTCAAATACTGGAATACTACTATCATGTCCCCCTTAGTGTTTCTTTTATCTAGACTCAGATGTAAGTGTATTGAGTCAAACAGTGTATCCAAGGAACCAAACTGGGGGGACTTGTTTTAAGCTCCATACCCACCATACTGTATGTAATCAGATGTGTTTTAACAGCACAGGGTGATAGTTAAAGGCTCACTACAGCAAGTTTGCAACATACCCTATGCTTTCTACCCCTTTCCCAACACCAGCTATGTTCTAGCTATTCTAGATGCAGGCTATCTAGAACAACTCAGATTTAAAAAATGTTGCAGTATGAAATTCAGACTGCAAACTGAACACAATCGAAAGAATCTACATTCCTTCCTAAAGTTGCATGGGTAATTCATCCTTGTCTCCTGGAATTCTTTAATGTTCATCAACAATCCTTTGAGGCCAACTGGGCTGAGTATTTTTGACTTGCAGCTGAATCTCTCAGGCTCTAATTTGTCACTGTACCATTCTATTTCCTTATTACTGATTTACTAAGAACAATATCATTACATTCAAGGATTTGTTAAATACATTGCTTGCTTGTGTCAGAAGCACCGAGGCACTTCCAGGTTGAATGAATTAGCCGGTGACATCACTGTTTTCTGAAAAATGCCCTATAAAATACCGTATATTCCGACGTATAAGGCGACCCGGCATATAAGACGACCCCCGTCTTCGGCGCCAAGTCGCATGCTAGGAAGATGTCTTATACGCTGGAAACTAGCGTTATTTCCGGCGTATAAGACGACTCGGCGTATAAGACAACCCCCGTCTTCGGCGCCAATTTTAAAGCTTGTGAAAGTCGTCTTATATGCTGGAAAGTATGGTCTATAATATACGCATAGTAAAGAAAGGCCTTGCTCAAAGGCCCAAAGCCTATAAGATCTCTGCTCACAAGTTACTTTCCAAAGCAGAAGAGAGATGGAAACAACAAATGAAAAAAAAAAAAAAAATCTGTAAAATGTACTCTTCTTTGAAACATTCAGGCAAGAAAAGCTACGGTAGACCACCTCTTGTTTTAAGAAAGTTGCTATGATGTTTCCCCGCTTGTCCGCTTTTTTCCAGGTTCTCCTCAGCCTCAAAATTCATGCCAGATTTGAGAGAAACGAACAATTGTTTACATGGATTGACTGGATAAATTGTCAAATACGCCCCACCTGACCCTTTTCAAAAATAATTGCTAATTATTTTTGACTGAGGTATATATTTTCCTACAAATGGTAGGCACTGCTCCTAATTGTCTGTGAGAATGTCCTTGGGAGACAAGAGGAGGAGGAGCAGCATACTAGGCAGAAGTAAGGCAGATTTACCCACAAAAGGAATGGGTGCGTGGCCAACGTCTCAGAAATGGCCATTCCTAGCTTTCTGGGCTGTTAAAGGTGGTGCGAGAGAGATGGCAGTTTCAGACTTGTAAGATTGATATCGACCCTCAGAGGCAATCCAGACAAGAAGTTTTATCTATAAGTACTAACGTTATTGTAAAGTTACAGTAACAGAATCTTGTAAGTCTGAAAATACATCAGTCACCCCTTTGCCATTACAAGGCCCAAGACACTAGGAAGGATCCCTTGTGAGATGTTAGTCATGGTCCCATCATTTCTGCAGGTTAAGCTGCCTCTTATTTGACCACTGTCTAGTCCACCGTGCCTCTTTCTCTTCCTCCGATCTCTCAAAGACATTCCCACAGACCGCTGCAGTGCCAAGCAATGCTTGTAGTATGATGTTTCCCCAAAAATAAGACTCAACCAGAAAATAAGCATGATTTTTCAGGATGCTCGTAATATAAGCCCTACCCTCCCTCCCAAAAAAACCCCAGTTAAGTTCATCAGCCAGATGGACGCATTTAGTACCATATTTCTCCAAAATAAGACCTAATAAGTCTTTTGGAGCAAAAATTAATATAAAAACCGGTCTTATTTTCAGGGAAACACAGGTAATCCCTCTCTTATATATGCCACTCTATACTTCACAATAAGAGGACTCCCTCCACTTACTTTGCACCTGGATTACTGCCTCCAAGGAGTGCACAGCATTAGTGCTAGGTTTCTGCTGCAAGATCTCTTCTGGAAGAGGCTCAAGCTGTAGGAATAAAACAGATTTATCTATAACTGTAAATCTGGAGCAAGAAGGCAAGAAAAGATGCCATAAGAGGTCAGCAACTGGTACACTTGCTAAGATGTGTGCTGAAAAGGAACTGCCAGTAGCCACAAAACATAAATTTGAAGAAGGATCGGAGCTTGGTACAAGAGGATCATGTCTCTACACTATTTTATTCAGCAAATAAACCAAATAATTGTTATGGGATTTCCCTGTTGTAGCTCTCTCTGAGTAACTAACCTGGACTTTCTTTCTTTCAAATAAAGAGGTGTGTTTAGAACAAGTTATATAAAACCTCTGGGAAGGATTGCCTGGACAGCAAGCAATTCAACACACATCCAATTATTTATTTGTATACACACTCACACGGACACATATAAAATATAATAAATAGGGAAAACAGGAGAGGATAAGGCTCTTTTTTTTTCATTCAGGGAAAAGTATGACCTGCAGCTGTACGAAGTTGGCAAAAACAAGGACGGAATGATAAATGGGCATAGAGATATAAGTCAGATGTTCAGCCAGGCACCCTGGCCTATATCTTTGGCTGTTATGGTTGATTAAATTTATCAATGGACAGTTGGCTGGGTAACTGAGAGAAGGCGAGAATTCCAGCCAATTTAAAATCAGCCACCATTGAAACTAATTTGGATTGAGAAGTTATTAATATAAGCTGGTGGCCAATATTCTCATCTTAGGAAAAGGTGTGCAAGAAAGTGATATTCAATTCAGTTCTAGTCACTTTGCAATGAAAATGATTATTCTCAATCCATTTTGATCTTCATTCAAACCTGATGTGAAAAGACTGTTGAGCATCTTGAGGCATGACCCTTGCCAGGAGAAGAGTGGGGAGCTTGATAATTCTCTTGGACATCTAAAGCAGCTCTGGAGGTCCTGTTTCAGTCCCCAGGTGAGGCAATGGTTTGGATGAGGGTGAACCAACCAAGACTCAATCCAGATCAAATATCCAATATGTTCCAAAAAGGAATATACACTCTCTGAATTGTGGGCGGATAGCCTATAGCCCATCTCCTCCTCGACGCCTCTGAGCACAACTGCGTGGCTTGCCCATATGTGAAGTCTTTTATGGTTTTTCAATAGCCACCTGATATTGATTGGGAGAACAAATCAATGGTTGCCACAGCTCATGAGAATAGAAACCCAGTGATCATGATCAGCTTTGCTAAGGTGGAGAACTTTTCTAATTCCCAGATTGTTCTTTGCAAGGAATCTTCTAAAAAAAAAAAAAAACCCTCACTGCATCTGACACCTGCAGACATCTGCAATGGGGGGGGGATCTCCATGGTTTTTCCTTTCCTCTCGGTGACTCTGTTTCAATAGGACTGGGAGAGATGAGGATGAATCTGTGCCTGGATGGTGTTATAGAACGGTGCTCCCAGTGTACATGGGCATCCAACCTCTGAACCAGGAACTAATAGTAAGTATCATGAGACTCCCAAATGACTCATCAAGTTATTATTTAGAGCTGGAGTGGTCTTATATGCCCTTTAAAAGCCAAAAGAGCCTCTTTGATTCAAAGGTCTTCTTATTGGATTTAGTTAAGCCAGCTCAAATACTTAGGCTGAGTTTTGTTTGGCCACAGTTGCTAGAAATGGCCACTCAGCATGTTGCAATGTGGTACATCTATAAAGGGAACAGCAGCCAGACTATTAAAGTGGATTGGCACAGTCTGTTGGTCTCTTTCTTGGCCTGGGGGTTCCTTTCCACGGATCCATCTTGTGACACCACTCCTGGACTAGAAGTTCTTCTTCTTGGCCATTCAGGCCATGGCCACCTCCTGGATGGATTATTGGAATGCACTTTACATGGGGCTGTGTGAGCAACACTGGCTTCCAGGTTTTTTCCCCTGGGTGCAATTCAAGATGCTGGTTATCACCTTTAAAGTCCAAAAAGGCACAGGGCCAGGTCATTTGTGAAATGACCTTTTTCTGAAGGTTTCTACTTGTTCCACCACATGAGAAAGTTCCTTCCCTGAAATATCATCCTCTGCAGGGCCTAGGAAGCATCTCTTCTCCATAGCTGGCATTGCCTTGTAGAACATCTTTTTCTCAGGGATATGGCAAACTCCTACTGACAAGGCCTTGAACAGCTGGCTCTTCTCACAAGTATTGGAATAGAATGCAACTGGAGGACAGCAAGGTGGAACACTGATGTTTGGGAGAGTGTTGCCCCAGAAGGCCGGGAGATTTTATTTCATTTTTTTTAAAAAAAATGTTTTTGATTTGTGAGGCACCAGGCCTGTGCATCATAATATGGGTATGGGTACTATAAAAGTAATTAAAATAAATGAAGAAGAGTGTGATGGCTCATGTGGTTAGGATGCTGGGTTGAAGGATAGCAAACCCACGTTTGAGACCTGAGTGCTGCTGCATGGCGGAGTGAGCTCCTGTCATTTGCTCCAAACTCTTTGATGGAGACATGAAAGCAGCCCCCATGGGCGTCTCCCAGCCAACGGTGATGTCACCAACTAATCCTTTCAACTCGGAAGCACCTAAAACAGTGCCTCCGACCTGAATGGGAATGGGAATTAAAAATAATTATTTTAAAAATAAATTAAAATAATTATTTTTTTAAAAAAAATAATAAAACTTTTCCTACTGGTGATCATCTACTTTGTACATTTTTTTTCACATTACAACTGATATGGACAACCAAAGGAACCCTGAGGAAAAATGACCATATTTATTTAAGGCTGGTCATGTAATTGTAATAAGAGAGTCAAAGTAAGTATGGCAACCTTGGCTCTTTTATGACTTATGGACTTCAACTCCCAGAATTCCTGAGCCAGCCATGCTGAGGGGAAAGGGAGAAGTTTCCAAGCTGAGCCACGCTAGGTCAGGAATTCTGGAAGTTGAAGTCCACGAGTCATAAAAGAGGCAAGGTTGCCTACCCCTGATCTAAGGGATGGGAAGAGCATTCTTCATCATAGTACTTGCTGGGGTATAACAATGGAGAAAATTATCTGCCTTTCTGTGAGCATCCCAAAGCACCCATTTGCATGGCTGTTACAGAAAGGGAACGTCTTGAAAATATTGCGACTCTTACATTGTATTTATTGATTTATAAGTCACATTTATACAGCCGTATTTCCAATGTTCCATTTCCAACCCTGAAAGCTGATTAAGTGACCCCGAGCAATCTCTTCTTCCAACCTAAACTTTGTCATTGGAAAATAGTGTGGAATGGGAAAATAATCATATATTGCCCTAAATTCCATGCAGATTATCATAAAAATCTGGAAAGGATGCTTGTCATATTAGCATTTGCTTCTCTCTTTTTTGGGGAGGTATAATGAATTTTATGTAGCATCTTTCAAGCAAGTCAAATGTTCCTTCATAAGAGAAAGATTAATAAGTGTATCGAGAATCATCGGGATTATGGACTATCCCATCTGATTAGTCCAATTTGTCTGGGCATTCTGATGTATTCCTAGACTTTGCTTTCTGCTCCTTCATACTTTTGCTATGGTTTTGTTTCTTTACATCTAGGTACGTTTTTTGAATCAGACTCTTTTTAACTGCTTGATTGGTCAATGTTTTTCTGCAGCTTTTAGAGTGCTACACAAGGCAGTAACTGTAGTCACTCCATAGGGAAAAGCCAGCCTTCAGAATGTCTTGAGGTGCCCCTTTTTAAAAAATTCTGTCTAGCAGAAACCTAGTGCTAAAAACCATTTCTATGACACTCTGCTCTGGATTCTCCCAACTGCCAAATCTCCCTCTAGCTCCACTCACCTCGTTACCCAGCAGAGCAGACACACAGGCCTCTGAGGCATCGCAAATGGCAGTCAAGTCATGGCCTCCTTCCAGGGCTAGAACGAGAGCCCCACCAGCCACATTCATCAATTGCCTGGTCATATAACCAAAACCTGCAGAGGAACCCAAAAGAAACCAGGGAATCAGACCTCTCTGGTAGGGTATCTCCTAGAAGAGACAAGAGTATCGGCCCTTCCTGGCTGCAACTATGGATATCTTTTTCCTCAAAAAAAAAAAAAAAAAAAAAAAAAAACAGAAGAGAAACTTTTTGTGGTTATCTAGTCATCCAGCTCTGCTTTAGCCAAATTTTCTAGCTTCCATATCCCTTCTCCTGCTACAGAAGATGTTCTATAGGCTCAGGGAGGATTCTATTATGCCTTTGTTCTGCATCTGCAAAGAGTTGGCCTTTAAGCAAACACTGTAGCTAGACATTGCAAGAGAAGGCCCAGGGAATCAGACCTCTCTGGTAGGGTATCTCCTGGAAGAGACAAGAGTATCGGCCCTTCCTGGCTGCAACTATGGATATCTTTTTCCTCAAAAAAAAAAAAAAAAAAAAAAACAGAAGAGAAACTTTTTGTGGTTATCTAGTCATCCAGCTCTGCTTTAGCCAAATTTTCTAGCTTCCATATCCCTTCTCCTGCTACAGAAGATGTTCTATAGGCTCAGGGAGGATTCTATTATGCCCTTGTTCTGCATCTGCAAAGAGTTGGCCTTTAAGCAAACACTGTAGCTAGACATTGCAAGAGAAGGCCCGCACACACAACTCATCTTTGTCATAATTGGTTTCCTTTCACATGCTTCTAAAAAATCATGAAAGAAAGCTTGAAGAAAACCATCATGTGGTAAGATGTGTATTGTGGTACATTCCCCCTTAATGACCATTCAACCAACTCTCTAGATCAGCGGTTCTCAACCTGTGGGTTGGGACCCCATTTGGGGTTGAATGACCATTTCACAGGGGTCGCCAAACAATGCAGTCCGCCATTTTTTCCCCTTTTCCTTAGCTGTGCTACTCCCTTTTATTCTATTGGCTTTTGAAAGCCAATAGAATAGACTCTCTTGAATAGGAGAGTCTAGTTCTATTGGCTTTCAAAAGCCAATAGGAATTGTCCAGGCTGTCTCTGCCCTGCTGAGCCCGCCAAAAGTCCCATTCTGCAAACGGTGCTGCACCAGTTGAGTAGTCCTCGACTTACGACCGGTTGAGTAGTCCTCGACTTACGACCGGTTGGGGGTTGCGGCATTAAAAAGGTTGAGAACCACTGCTCTAGATCAAAGGTCCCCAACCCCCGGTCCATGTACTGGGTCATAGTATGCCAGCAGCTAGGCTGCACAAACAAGCAAAGCCCCATTCACGAGATGCAGGCAGCACACAAAACCACGCCCCTCCGGTCCATGGAAAAACTTCTGTCCACGGAACTGGTCCCTGATGCCCAAAAGGTTGGAGACCTCTGCTCTAGATATTGCCCTAGAGATGCTGCAGAGATGCTGCTCTAGATATTGCCCTAGAGATGCTGCAGATGCTGCAGAACATCTGTCCAGACAACAGCTGGACAGATGTTCTCTCTGGGCAAAGAGTAAACTGCTCACTCTCCCATTAGAATGTCCACCACTCTTCCCGGTTAACTGCCATCCTGAAGGACCCTTACATTTGGCTGAGACTTTGTAACCCCCTAGTGGAGGAGGATGGCCATCGGCTGCATCAAAGCCTGCAGATACCAGCACCACATCCGGGGAGAACTCTTGGGCAACTGGCATCACCACCGTCCTGCAAAGAAGGAGGAAATTAAATTAAATTCAAAAATTAAATCAAATCAGGATGGTTAGCATCAGTGACTCTCTAGATTCCTGGATGCTTCAGACTATTATTTACAACATAAAACATTGCCTTGCTTAGGCACACTGACAAAACAAAACAAAACAAAAAAGCTACAATCTTACACATGTATTTTTCCATTTGCATCAGTTCTGAAATGTTGTTAGATCTCTTTTATTATTTATTATTTTTAAAAAATTGCAATGCTTCATTTCTATGATACACTGAAGTATAAATGTGAAAGGATAAGTTATGCAACTAGGATTAGCAACATGGGGCACTACAGTGTTACACCAAATAATTCAGGAAATCATGAAAATCACTGAATCTCATGGGGTCCCACATTGACACTGAGGTTGAACAAATCTGGATTTGGCCACTGCCTGGATGGAAGTGAGGCCATCTTGAAAGTATTCCTCCCCTGTTGCCCTCTCCCACCCCAATTCATCCCCCTTCTTTCAAAGGGACATAAATGCAGCTAATTTTGAAAAATGGGACACCAAAGTATGAGACTCCAATCACATATGATGCTGAGCCACATACAGTTTTCCCTCAGGAAATTACTTTTTAAAAATCGTTCATACAGATACATTCTTGAGGGCTGAATCTGTGTTGGAGAAACAGTGCTTGCTCTCTCTCTCTCTCTCTCTCTCTCTCTCTCTCTCTCTCTCTCTCTGTGTGTGTGTGTGTGTGTGTGTGTGTGTGTGTGTGTGTGTGTGTGTGAACTCCCTCCCTCCAGCATTTTTCCATTTTCCTCTTCAGCATTTTTTCCATTAATAAACACATAAACAATTTTGCTCAAGTGGAAGAAAGCAATTTTAGCAGTAACACCCCCCAAAAAACCTCTCTGGCAGAGGAAAGGTATAAAATCACCCTTTACCCCACCCCTGACCACACTTAATTAAAAAAAATATGAAACAAAGATAAACAAATGAAAATAATTTTGATGAGGAGGTAAACTTAAGGCAACTTGGCATGACAGGTGCCTGACCAATGGCCACCACCCCAAGCTCCTGGATCCTCTAGTATCAAGCAAGCACTGGGTGTATAATTTCAGGCTCATCAATTCACAATCTACAAAAGTGCTTCTTCCTCCTGTACCTTCTCCCCACCTCCAAGAAAAGGAGAAATGTTTTTTTAAAAAAGAGCAGACTGTTAATTAGTATCTCACTTCCTTGGGCTACTTTTCAGCCTCTGTAACTGGTCTGAGTTCTAAAGCAGTCCCATGCTCTTCCACAGAAAGCCATCATTCAGCCCTCTTTGTGAGACAATGGAAGTTTAAGGCGGGTTGGAGCAGGTCCCAACCATATCAAGGAGGAAGCTGGCTTGGATTTGAACTCATCCCTCGATGCACCGCTGTGCGGAGCCATTCCCAGACCTCATACACAGAGAGCCCCAACAGGCCTTCCATCTTGCCCACTGGGATATAAGAGAATCTCATCCATCAACTAGATCGCATTTGGCAAGCAACTCAAAGAGACATGGGGCCTGGGAGCTGCATTTCTGTGTGGAGCAAAAAGTGGGGATATGTGGGGTAGGGGGAAGAAACTATTTATAGAGCCCTTTTAAGTGCAATCAAAGCACATGTGTTGGGCAGCTGTGGGAGGGTGGCCTTTTGCCAGAGCCCGGCTTGGCACAGTTAGGCCTTGCAATTCAAAATGGAGACTCTGCCAAGTGCTGTGGGTCTCGTTCCTCAGGCCGGAGAAGCTAGCTCTGACCATCTGGCATTCCAAAGCGCTACTAAACACTTGGTTGTGTGGTTTTGGGGGTGTAAGAGGCTCACCAGAACACAGCTCCTCTGCATGCTACAGAGTGGTGATGCAGCAGAGCAATTCAACATGCCAAAGGGATGCAGCAATATTTGAGGGAATGATTCTTTTAAAGCAGGGGTCTTCAAACTTGGCCCTTTTATGACTTGTGGACATCAACTCCCAGAATTCCTCAGCAGCGTGCCTGGCTGAGGAATTCTGGGAGTTGAAGTCCACAAGTCATAAAAGGGCCAAGTTTGAAGACCCCCATTTTAAAGCAAAGGTGGACAACTTGTAGCCCCAAGGCCTTAGGTACTCTTTCTGTAGCCTCTTAGCGGCTTTGTCTATCATAGCTACAACCTTAAGAAAGTTTCCAAAACTAAATTTGAGACAGAAGCCCTAAAACAGGTGAGGAAGTAATATTTCTCTTGAATGGGCTGTAAATCCATATTGGTTTTTTTACATCATTGGTAGCACCATACAATTTGCTAATTGCATTTCATACTCCACACATGATCTCTAATTTGGCCTTAGGAAACTCAACTAAATATGAGCAAGACTGTAACTTTGTTTTTGGCCCTTCAGTTACACAGAGCCACAGAATCTTACCACAGTCTTCTCAGCAACATGGGGATTATAACACTGGCCTACCTTACTGGATGGTTGCAGAAAAATTAGCAAAATATATCTGTAACAGGGAGGTGACTTGCACACATTCCAAAAAATGCTATGAGTATGTGGGAAGCTTAGCACAAGTCTTCTTAGCAATTGGGATGATGATGGCATGAGGGAGGACTCTTAACATAGCGCCTTTGTCATTGACTTCACATCCTGGGGAGTATTATACTAGCTTTGGATCACAAAAGAAGGAACTGAACTGGTTTAGTTCAGTTTAGTTTTCAGAAGTTTGGTAGGAGCAGCCAGGACTGTGGGCCAATGGAGTGGGGAGAGGAGAAAGTGTGTCAGAGCTACTAGTGGAGGTGTGCGTGCAACTTCTGACAACCCAGGAAAGAAAGATTTACAGCCTGATCCTATGTTTAATCATGTTTATTTGGAAAAAATCCCACTGGACTTCATGAGATTGACTTCCAAGTATAAACACTCTTAGGCTTCCTTCCCTGACTCTGAAGTTTTGCCCACCCCGTTCCCTGCCTTCCTGTCCCATATGATGAAAACAATCAGCCAAGAAAAACAGGCGTGCTTGCAGTTCTTTAGACAATGTTCCTGCATGCTACTAAAAGTAAACTTGTTCAAATAAATCATGCTGCCTACTTTGTTCCTCAGTTCTGATCTTTGGTGCTCGGGCAGCAAAGGGTTCGCCTCTTACATCAAACGATAAGCTCAGCTCCAGAATTAGCACAGGAGCTGAGATATTGCGAGGAGGAACAAAGCACACTTAAATCTGGCCTAAAGTGGAGCAAACTTGCCAGATGCTTTCCTTGAATCATCCTCAACATGACGCCAGATGAAACAAGTTGTCATCTCAGACATCTGGGGAGCACCAGCTTGGAGAAATCTACTCTGCTTGCCTGTTCTTCTCTTCCTTCATTTCCCCCCCCCCCGTCCCTCCCCCCCCCGGGGCTAAAAGTAAACTGTTCCATTGCAACTAAAAAGTTATTCAAAGCAGCCTTTGCCAATGTAAGTCAACAGGGCCCTATTGGAAGAATAGGCATTGTATCAAAGCTTGAAGGAGAGGGGGCCTACCGGAAAGCCGCCAAGTACTCTGGATCTCCCATGGGAGGGTCAAGACCTCCTGTCCAAGCAACATTGACAGTGAAACCTTCTCCGGCCCCGGAGCCCACCTGAAAAAGAAAAACAGGGAGCAAGTCAGGTCTCCCACTGTTGAGACGACCGCATCTCCAGATCAACTGAACAGCCTCATTGCAGCCCTGCTGAGGATCCTGATGTCCAAGATAAGTAAACTAAAAATATCCCAATCCCAAGTTTATTATATTGACAGCACTGGAGAGATGACCTGTATTCAATAACAGGAAAACAGCAGTTTGTGGATGCTTCCTTTAACTCTACTGTTATGGTTTCACTTCTGGTGATCTTACCGTAGTGAATGATCATGTGTACTAAGCATTTATTTTTGGGTGTGTGGGTGGGAGGCATTCTTTGGAAGACAAAGCATACCCACAATAAACTGGGAAGGAAGCCCAAGTACTTCATTTTTTTATGATAAGAAATCAGATTTCCCATCTCTTAACTATTCAGATTCTCCCCCCCCCCCAACAGAACCACAAATCTCTTAGAATTAAATGACTTTGGGAATTCTTTCTCTGAAATACAGCATTTATTTACTGCGTTCCTAAAATAATTAAAAAATTACTCAAGGCAAACATTCTCCATTTTTCCCAGAAAAAGATGCTCAAAAGTTTTTCCAGTCACAAAGATAAGCATTTTTCTATTATAAAGTTAACTGGGCTGCTTCCCGTACTGCATGAAACACCAGAATCAATTCCAAAGTTCACCCCCAAATGTCATTTCAGGAAATAATTCCTAGATAATGTTTGTATTGCTTTTTGCCTCCCTCTCCCTCCCAACATTTCCAGTTAAAGAGGGAGCGAAGGTTATGGACAGAATAATTTTCATGTTAAATTGGTGATCCTTAAAAGAATGATTAATAGAAGAACCTTCTGCACTATTTCTGGAGTGCTGCGTACATCAAACATACAGTATCTTTTATTTATTTATTTATGAGACTTATATACCACTTTAAGTGCAAGCACTCTCTAAGCGGTGTACACCAGTAAGCAATATATATATATATTTACATTGCCCCCAACAATCTGGGTCCTCATTTTATCTACCCCGGAAGGATGGAAGGCTGAGTCAACCTTGAGCTGGTGAGATTTGAACCGCTGACCTGCTGAACACAGTCAGCTAAAGTGGCCTGCAGTACTGGGAATCAAATCCCAAGTGCCACTCTAATGCATAGAGTAGGCAACAGTACTTTTCCAAAAATATTCATGTGCAGTGTTATGCTTAGATTTTCTTGCAAAGGAAAAATGTTCAGTAGTTTTATGTGCAGAAGTACACTGATCATCCTCTCTTTCTCCCCTGCAAATAAGAAGGTCCAGTTTTCCAAAATCCAGGGGAGGGTGGCGGTGGCTAGGTTTCCTCTACACTTGTATGGCATCCCATACATGTTGCAGACCGCTTGCAAGTGGTTATTAACCCCTTCTGGCACACCTGGTCATTCCAAAATTGAGCCCATGGCCAATGAATGTTGCAGCGCGAATGCCCCAATGTTTTAAGACGAGGCACGAGTACAACACGGAACAGGAAAACTTTTCCATATGAAACATAGCCCTGTTAGCTTTTTGGGCAGCAGGCTTCTGACCTAGACAGAGGTTTATTCGAAGAGAAAACTCTGTTTCCACCCTCATTTTGGGGTTACAACCCAGAACCTGGCTTGCTTTGTGTGTGAAACACACACAAAATACTACTGTAGTATTTTCCAGGAGGAGGAAGAGGAGAAGGAGGAGAGAGGGAAAATGAAGAAAATGGATAAGGGTGACAGGAAATCCCTCTCTGAAGGACAAACAAACAACCTGCCAAATCACGCCATGTCAGCTAGCTGGGCAAGAGAAAGAGAAGAAAAAAAAAGAAAGGGTTGAAAAATCCCTGTCCGTTGGGGCAGGGCTCACCATCAAAACTGACAGTGTGTCTGATGAAGGAGGGGGGAAACAGCTCATAATGGGGGTGGGGGTGGGGAGGGGGAAGCCTTGAGTGATATGCTACAGTCTCCCAGGGATTTGTGCGGCATCATAAACAATGCTTCAGCCCCTTTGATATCTCCTGCTGGAGGGAGAGATGAGAACCAGATGGGGGCCAACTCCAGTCCTGGCCACTTTCAGCACTAAGCTCCTTTGAAAGCAGGTTGTAAAGCATGATGGATTTGAAAAGCCTATCCGATTTGCCCTCCTCCCACCCTTAGCTGGGGCAAAGTTCTCCATCTTTTTCTCAGAGCTGGAAATGTTCAGCTCTAGCTTAATGAAGTTCTCCAGAGAACTTTCTGGCTCCTCAGATGCATTTAGCTTCTAACCTCCCTTTAAAAAAAAGAAAAGAAGAAGTCAGAAACCAACGCTGTTTAAATTTCAACGAATTTCCCAAGGGGGCATCTATGTTTTCTAACGTGGAGCCAAGAAGGGCTCCCTATGGATGGGCTGAGCAGAAGGTTCACCAGCGTACTTGGGGAACAAGACCAACGATGGAGATTCTGAGAGAGGGATGTTTGTCAGCTGATTCCTACTTAAAAGCCTAGGAAGGATGAATCTGTGGTAAAAGTAAAGAAAAGCTAAGTGGGCAGAGGTCCAAGAGACCTAAAAGTCATACCAGGAACTTAAAAAAAATCCAAAAATTGTGGAACCAAGAAAAGCAGATACCAATCAGAGACAGAGAAACTTAACAGATAGGATATACAGAAGCTTAGAGATTGTAGGTAATAAGGGCAGTAAAGCAGGAGTCCCCAACCTGTGGGCCGTGGGCCACTACTGGGCTGTGGCCTGCTGGCCACTGGGCTGCAGGACAGGCTAGCTAGTGCGTGCACACTCACCCCCACTCGTGCTAGCACCGCAATGAAAATGGGGTGCCATGGTGAAAATGGGGCAGGGCTAGTATCACGCGGGTGCTAGCGCCACCCTATTTGCATTGTGCGGGTGCTAGCGCCGCCCATTTGCATCACATGTATGCTCGCAGCCCATTTTGTGCATGCGTGTGCGTAAAATCCTTCCCCGTCCTTTTCCCTCTGGTCCACCAACCAAAAAAGATTGGAACCTCTGCGGTAAAGCACAAAGTGGTCAGGTCTTGTTTCTTAGGAGGGCCCCTGTGCCTTTAAGAAGCCCAGTGGCTTCTGCTTTTATGGAAGCATTGTTATCCTTTAAGCTTTGAACAGTGGTTCTCAACCTTTTTAATGCTGTGACCCCCAACCGGTCGTAAGTCGAGGACTACTCAACCGGTCGTAAGTCGAGGACTACTCAACTGGTGCAGCACCATTTGCAGAATGGGACTTTTGGCGGGCTCAGCAGGGCGGAGACAGCCTGGACAATTCCTATTAGCTTTTGAAAGCCAATAGAATTAGACTCTATTCAAGAGAGTCTATTCTATTGGCTTTCAAAAGCCAATAGAATAAAGGAGTAGCACAGCTAAGGAAAAGGGGGAAAAAAATGGCGGACTGCGTTGTTTGGCGACCCCCGTGAAATGGTCGTTCGATCCCAAATGGGGTCCCGACCCACAGGTTAAGAACCACTGGCTTAGAAGAAGCCACAAGTGAGGATGCTATAGCCATGCATTACTTTGAGTTAATTGACTATATAGATTTTGTTTGTACTATGGGTAGTGATAAAGGGGTTGAATTATAACCGGAGAGGTAAGGTTCAATTCCTTTTCCAGCATGGAGCTCTGTAGGAGGCTTTGGACCAGTCACTCTCTCTCTCTCTCTCAGCCCAACATATCTCACAGAATTCTTACCGGGACAGAACTGTTAAAATTCCCAAGACAAGATAGAAATGCAGTAAAAGAATTAAAATAATTTTAAAAAAACATATCATTTTCGAACAGGAGCATTTTGCTAAGATCTGCATTTTCACTATCATACAGAGACGTAAGGTGGGGGAGGGGTTCCTGATCTAGCAGTTGGTTCAAGGGGTTTGAGGCATGCTATTAAGTTTGCAAAGGCAACATTTACTAACGATCACATTGTGCGCAAATCTGGGGCTTCCCCTTTCCTGTATTGTATCAGTAATATTTTTATTTATGGAAACCAAGATATATGTAAAACAGGAGATTACCTCATCAGCTGCTCCGCTACCAGGGAAGAAGTTACCATCATCATAGCGATGCAAGGAGAGGTAGAGGACATTTGGATCTCTGTAGAAAACTTGCTGTGTCCCATTACCATGGTGAACATCCTGAGGGGGAGGAAGAGAGAAGGTAATAAACCTGTAAGTTGTTCCAAAGGCGCTTTTTTCAAGAGGCAACTGGACTTTCTTATTTTTCTTGGAAGACAGTTTCGCTTCTCATCCAAGAAGCTTCTTCAGCTCCCGGTGCGAAGCTGAAGTGAGACGTCTTCAGAGCGAATGAGAAGCGAAACGTCTTCAAAGAAAAACACGAGTGTAGTAATCAGTGCTCAGTCATTGCAGGGTGCAAAAAATGGCTGCTCCCTACGCAGCTTTTATTGTTTATATACAGTTTACAAGCAGCAAAAGTTTCTACATGACAATAGCATTTCATTGGTTAAACTCCCAACCAATCCTCAAGAATATAGAAGCCAGAGGCCAGAAACAGGGAATAGTAATGGCAATAACATCTTGTTGATGCGAGCTAACTATTATCAGACTGGCAAGGTCACAGAGCTGCGCACTTTCACATCGCCATGGTGATGTGAGGGGGGGAGATAGATCTAGAGAAGAAGAAGTACACAGGGATTGGAGGGGCAGTTTTCCACACACGACCTTTGCCTGGCCCCCACCTCTACACACGAGCTGAAGAAGCTTCTTGGATGAGAAGTGAAACGTCTTCAAAGAAATTCTTGGATGAAAAGCGAAATGTCTTCGAAGAAAAACAAGAAAATCCAGTTGCCTTTTGGGACAAACATGACCTGGATGACTGAGAATCTCCACATTACATTAAGCCTGTAAGTTGGTACACATATGGCCATTAGCTACCAGTGCTCTTCTATTTTACATCCTACTATAGCCTTCCTCCAAAGCTGTGCCCTCCAATTGGTCAAATTCACACCCAACATTAAACCCAAGTTAGCAAAACACAATTGCTGGGTTCATGTAGTATCTTGTGCCCAAGCACGTGAACTATAGTAGTAATGGGATTCCTACCATAGCATGGCAACTGCCCAATTCCCCCTTTGCCATGTCTAGTGTACTGCAAATTCAACTGATGCGGGAATATGACCCCTGTCACTTTCAGTCAACCAACTTGGTGGAGGGGAGCATGAGGCTTGTAGGATAGTAGATCAAAGTTTGGAGATAATTTTCTGTCATTTCCACAAGGATAACAAGAAATTTTCTTCCTGACAAGTGGAAGGAGGAACTCACCCAGTCGACAATCAATATCTTGCCGATTTTTCCTTTTTGCTGGAGCTGCCTGGCTGCAATTGCCACCGAATTGAAGAAGCAGAAACCCCTGCCAAGGAACATGGAGAGCAAGAAGCTGGGTGAACAACCAAAATGGGCAGCAAATGTATTTATGGGACATCCTGCCCAACTGGTACACGCCAGCCTCCCCAAAATAATCCAACCTCTCCTCAACCTCTTGCCTAAGTCCTGCAGAGACCACAGGGGCCAGATGTTATGCAACAAAGGGGCCATTTGCTGCATTCTTCCACTTGTGTGCTGCTCTAGGACTTAGCATTACAAGGACACACGTTTTGGCTGGTGGAGACCTGCCAAAAACTGAGCTCAAGAATCAGTTGGAAATATTCTGTAAAATGGCCTCTCTCTCTCTCTCTCTCTCTCTCCAATACCACATTCACTACTTTATAATGGCAAAATTGGGAAGATCTGCATGTGGAATGGGCCACCGCTGCTCAGATACTGCAGACAAAGCTCTCAGATGCATTGTTTTGGTTGGAGAGCTTTCACAAATTTACTGAAACCCAGCAATACACACAAATAGCTGCCCAGAGTTGATCCATAGTGAGATGGGTGCCAAAAATAAAATAAAATAAAATGTAAAGTAAAATAAAACAAAACAAGCAACTCATCACCGTGCATACTAACTCATTTTTACACTGTAAATTTGTGGGAAGTCAAAGTTGCCCTGACTATGAATAAGGGTGTATCAGCAGGCTGTGTAGTACTTTCTGGGAGGAAGTAGGAATCCGTACTGAACTGCTCAAAGTGAACAAACACAATAAGGGCCAGCTAAAGAATGGAGAAAAAAAAGAATAAATAAAGGAAATAGGGAAGGATGGAATGAAATAACCTGGAAGTGGGCCAGCCAAGCTGGCCCCTAAGACTTTGAGATCTCAATGTTTTGATACAAGCCTCACTTCCAACTATTTGGACAATGGCAGGGGGATTATGTGAAGTTTAGGACAAAACATCTGGAGGATGGCAGGCTGCTTCTCTTCGTCTTAACTTCTATTATGATCCAGAAAATTAAAAAAAGGCATGCGGAGACTGGCTAGCTTTGTTACTTGGGGTTTTTTTTTTCTGCCCAGAGGAATAGAAATAAGAAATTATCCTTGCTCATTCTGGCCTGGACAGAAGCTTTTAAATCTAGCCATTTCAAAAAAAGAAAAAAAATCTGGATATGCTTCTTATTCTGAAAGCAATTGCTCTTCCTTTGTAGGTAAAAGCAGCTGCCCCCAGATCAAATCAGAAGCTTTCAACCCCCCCCCCCCAAAAAAAAACAGTATTACCAGTAGCATCTTATGAGAGGGGATAAAAAGCATCAAGGCAGCTGTCACAGCCATGCAACTGGAGCTCTGCCCTTCCTTTTTTTGTGTGCGTGTGTATGTGCCTTTGAGCCAGTGTTGACTCTTGGTGACTGCTTGGGCAAGTCCCTGCAGTTTTCTTAGCAAGACTGTTGGCAAGTGTTTTGTCAATGCTGCTAACATTGGATGTTCTTGCTTTGACAACATATGAAGATGCAGACTTTTTCTTTCTTGTGCTTTACCATTCTTAGATGATGCTGGGGGAGGAGGAGGAATGTGGTGGGAGTTAGTTAGACATAACAATATTGTACTAGTGTGTGAATTCAGAGCTTGAAATGAGAGATGATAAGAATTGGTGGGTTGGAGAACAGGAGGGAAAGCCTGCATTTCAAACTAATTGGAGAATGTGATTTATGACTGTTAATTAGGGAGGGAATTGTGTTTGATACTATGCGCTAAGGGGAAGGGAATCCAGATTTTGGCTTCAACTATGTTAGTGCCTAAGCTATACTACTCCAATAAAGATTCTTCAAGGTAAACAATGCCTCAAAGTTCTTTGAAGAGTTTTATCTGTCGGAACCATGACAGTTTTGCCCTTGTCTGCTTCTTAAAGGAAGTGACTAGCCCAAGCTCACCCAGCTGGATGAGTGCCTTAAAGCAGGACTAGAACTCATAGTCCCCCACTTTCTAGCCTCATACCTTCCTGTGTCTTCTTTTTTGTTTGCTCTTTATTTGTGCTTGACTCTGATGCACGGAGCTCTGCTCCCTCTTATCACCTTTCTTAATCAGATCTAAGGTATAAATCCAGGGCTACGTCTGATGTATCCATTACTGTTTATGATTGCATTCCCCAACTTTCTCAGCCACCTTCACCTTTGTCAACATCAGACCTACTGCACCTGGGTTCCAACTGTGCCTGTGATGTCACAGAGGAAGTGGAGCATTGAGAGCACAGGCATGATGGACTCTAAGGGGCTTGGGTCTATCAGGAAGGCAAGCTGTGAGTCAGAAGAGAAAGGGCACAGAGGTGATTCTCCTTACATTGCTGTGGAGGGATCAGCGTGGTGTCCTGGAGGCCGTACAACTGCGAAGCCGTTCTGTAAGACATTTTAAAAAAAGAAAGAAAGAAAACAGCACATGTTGTCATGATCAGTATGCACAGTGCTTAAAGAAATGTTTCATAGAAATGGAAAAAGCTGCAATAGCATGCATTACTGTAACTCAGGGGTCCCTAGCCACCAGGCCACGGTCTGTATGGAACCAGGCTGCGCAAGTGATAGTTGAGGCCACTCAGCTTCACTTGCGTGAGCGGTGGACATTCACACTCACACAGAACCACCCCATCTCCCCCTCTCCCTCCCCCCGGTCCACCAAGCTGAAAAGGTTGGAGACCGCTGCTGTAACTGGATTAGTCACTGTAAGGTGGGGTGGAGGTAAGCTGCATTTATTTTAACCATATCTCAGTTTATTTGGCTGAAAGGTGAGTAATAGGATGTTCCCCTTACTGGTTTGTTCTTCTGTTTGGGATTTTTCATCCTTTAATTGAATTTTCTTATTAAGATGTGGTTATATTACTTCCTGTTATGAGACTGCATATTACGGGCCTAATGTAATCAGAGCACGTCTTTTTCTATTAAGGGCAAAAGGATCTACCAATTTTGACTGTCGGTTTGTCAAATGCTCAGAATGGGCTTTGGCTTACAAAAACATTTATACAATCCCATGGCTAGCCTTGTGGAGAGATCATATGATACATGATTGGTCCTCTGGTTAAAGTCTTCAAATTTTAGTAGGAAAAATGTAAACAAGCCAATGAGATGAAAGTACTTAAGTATGGTTGGATCACCATCATTTTATCTATTGGAAAAGCATGGCAATTCAATGCTTTCTATTTTGAAATGCTACAGCGTAAATCATGAATGTTCAAAGTCTTAAGTTTTTTTTTTCAGACAATAATTCAAATGTGCTAGATCTAGTGTTATGTGTATCTTCGATGAGATTTTCTCCTCCTATCCTCTTTCCTGCAACTTTCTCCCTATAAGGGCAGTCTTTATTTAGTGGCTCTGTCATTAAGCAAAGTGGTCACTAAGTGAAACCGTGATTGCCTATGATCTTACTTCAGCTTTCCTTTTGCTCTACAGACCTGTAAGTGCAAGGATTGGTCATAAAGTTATTTTTTCACCACTGTTGTAATTAACGAGGCAGTCACTAAATGGTGACTACTTGTACTCCCAAAATCCAGACAAGATTTTAAGGTATTGGGGAACCTGGGGTGTGTATGTGAGAATAGTTCCTTCGTGTGTATGTGAGAATAGTTCCTTCCTGTTTAGATGACAGAAACCATTTTATCGATTGACAACTATCCTTAAATTTCATACATTGTCACAATTATAATGAGTAGTAATACCAATATGGTTATACTATATATTTAAGATATGGAAAAAAAGTTCAGGTTAAATCCAGAGCAATAAAGACACATTTCCCAATGAAAGCAATATGAAATATTAGCCAAGATTAATTCAAGTCCCACTGATTTCCCCAAAACATAAGAGCAATCAACTCATGTGGCAATCTTGCTTGGCAATCAACCATTAATCGACAGGCTACCTAAGTTACTGTTAAAGTTTTTTCTCACCTATTTTTTTCTCATTTAAGATTTTTCTGTTTAATAATTATTATTACATTTTTCATACTTTGGCAAAATACCACTGACATAATTTAAAGTTGTATTAATATGCTTGCATTTCTTTAAGCTTAAGATACTTTTCAAAAATAGGAAAAAATACCCAACTGCGCCCCATTCCATTAAACTATATAACCAAAGAAAAGAAACTGGAAACAATCTGTATTTTTAAAAGTTGCAATGATCAACTTTGCATAAAATAAAAACTACAGATATTTGAAAATATTATAAAAAGTGTCCTCTTTCCAGCAACATTTTGGCCTTGAAGAGACATAATATGATCAGTCCTAAAAAAAAGTGAGAACTGAACTGTTTCGTAGGGGTCTTTATTTTATTACTTCTGATTAAAACAGCTTTGTTTATACTCTGAGATGTCATTACCAGTCAAATCTGATTAGCTATACCACTCCATGACATCAACACAATCCTGTAATGTTTCCTGATTGGGTGGAATTCCTCTATGAAGGAAGAAACAATTCCATCAAGGAAGAGGATGAGAATAAAAGCTGACTGCTGAAAACAGGTCGGAAAAAGGGAACCAGTAATACCTACCTACCTACCTTCCTCCCTTCTCTCTCTCTCTCTCTCTCCCCCTCCCTCCCCCCTCTCTCTTTCAAAAAAAGTGTTTAGCCTGACAACTAAAATGGGTAAGTGTTCAGTTAAAACACATTCCCAGGTTCAGCTGCCAAATGCCTGTGAATATAATTGAGCTTTGTTCCCTTGAAAGCCCAACAAAGACCATTGCTACACCTCCTTGAAGCCATTGCCAAAGCCGTGGAGTCACCACAGAAGGTCCTTCTGCTTAACAACCAGCTGCAGTTGTGACTTCACTGGAGGATCCAATTTTGAGCAAAGTTTTTAACAGAAAGTTACACTAATCAGAAGAGGACTAGAAACACCTGCTCTCTCTTCAGATGTATGTGCAATTGTTCTGTGCTATAACAAGATGAAGTCAATTTAGGGGCAGGGGGAGGACTCTGATTATCCTTGTCAGAATCATCAATGGAAATCATATTTATTTCCATACACCAGCTCAGCTTTGCAGGGTTTTTTCAGATTCTGTGCTTATTCAGTCTTTTGGAATACCTAGCAAAAAATGATGATATGTATGTGAGGTTGGGAGATGTGGGCACTTGTTAATTCCTTGACCATCATCAATGGAAGGTCCTGCTGAGATACCAGCAGTTGCCCCATGAGGCCAGGTGCTGATGGTAGTCCACCCAAACTCTGAAACCAGAAACAATTTTGAAAGACACAGCCAGTTGGGTGCAATGCTTAAGGCATCAGGCTAGAAATCAAGAGGCTATGAGTTCTAGTCCCACCTTAGGCACAAAAGCTAGCTGGGTGACTTTGGGCCAGTCACACCCTTTCCAACCTAGGAAGCAGACAATGGCAAACCACTTCTGAAATCTTGCCAAGAAAACTGCAGGGACCTCAACACTAACTTGAAGGTGTGTCTGTACACAGACACACACAAAAGACCCTTGAAAAGGGGAGAGGAGAATAATGGACAGATGGGCAGTTGATGCCACTCTTTTTTTCTATGTGTGTCATCTCTGCAAAAATACATTTTGGAAACCCCTTTGAGAGAATCCCATGCTATTTAGAAATCCAAAAGATGAGTGGAGGGGTACTCCCTATCTACCTTGCTATCCCAGGGCTCTTACCTTAAGCTGCCGACTGGCCACTTTGAAGGCCAGCTCAGTCACGCTCCCAGCTGCCCACCGTGCAGCATTGCTGGAGTGCAGCTCGTTCCAAATGGTGTCACTATCCACCTGGACCCAGTAGGAGACAAAGAAGAGTTCAATCTACAGAAAGGGCCCTGTGGTTACATTAATGCACACAACAAGAAATAAGCCCACGATATGGACTAATGATATACGCATATCAACACACATACCACATCCTCCCCCCACCGTGAGATGGGGTAGAACAAAACCAGTGGAAAAGCTGCTGGACGCCATCACTAGTTTTGGACCAAGGAGTCTTCAAATAGCAGCCCTGATCAAATCAACTGTCAAATGCAGCTCTATGAAATGGACATCCTCTACTTGAGGGCAAATCAGAACAGTGCAGCCCTTGGCATGCAACACGTGCCCGTTCATGAACAACAATCGTCTAGCTAGACAACAATCCCATCCCCAACTCTTCAGCTTTGCTGGGCTCCCCAGGTTCCATCGACACACCAACATGCAGGAGAGTGTTCCCCACACATTCCCCCTCTAAAGCTAGTTGCAAAAGTTGGGGGCAGGAAGAACCCATTCTTTTTACCTTCTTGATTCTATTTGATTTTTTTTTTCAAAAACAAACATCTTGGTTTGATCAGGATCACGTCATCGGCAAAGTAAGAGCCGGAAAACCTCAGAGATTCTCTTCTGATCAACTCCATGTGTGAGCAGAGCCTGCCTTCTGCCTTAGTGCTCCAGGCGCGTACGCCCTCTCCCTCTCTTTCTCTCCGGGTGCAAGGGAGGGGGAAGAGAGGATCCAAGCCCCGTCAGTAAGGACAAAGGAAGGGAGAAAGAAAGAAGGAACAGAGAGCAGGAGAAAGGGAGCAAAAGGTTAAGAGAAGGAGAAGAGGGATGGTCGGGGAGGCAGCATCCTGGAAAAAAGAGAGTGAGAAAAAAAAGGCACGCAAGAAGGCGATGAACGAAAGTGAACGTGGCAGAGAGCCCAGAGGGAGGGACATGAGAGACAGAGAAAAGGAGGGGCCAGGGAGATTTTCTCCAACCTAACCCTATTCCCCCAACCCTTCTCAGGAATACTTCTGGGTCTGAACATTAGAATGGAAGTGGGATAAGAAATAGAAGGTGGTGCAATGGGCCATCATCATTCCAGGAGTACAGACCACTATTCTTGCTAAGTGGAGAAAGCCAAGGTCTGGATTGTAGCATCAGACTGTGGGCAGAGCTCCCTGGGTGAAAGGCTCTTCACGCAAAATCTGTTTAATGCTGCAAATCATGTGCTAATGGAAAATCTAGCCGTGAACTCTTTAACATCTAATTTACCATGTCAAGAAATGGTGTCGGCAGAATAATGGTTCCCTTCAAACTTTACAACTGTAATACAAGTCCTTTAGCACTTTCTTATGAACTAGACTTAGAGGACAGTGTATGGTTGGAGAAATGGACACACTGAAGAAAGGTGGAAAAAAAAAAACACCTAAGGGATTTAGCTAAGATGAGCCAAATGTATTGGTTTGCTGCTGTGTATATTTTACCAAGATTCCTCCCAAAACATTTGAGCTGAATTCATTGGCCATCACATGGTATGTGATATGACAGCCAGATCTTGTCATGCCTACAGAGAGAACCCTGGTGGGTTTCACATTATACCCAGTGACTTCACAATAACCTGGGGAACAGCATGGTAAAGTTTAGTAAAGACAACTGGAGCCTTCTATATCAGAGGTCCCCAACCTATGGGCTGCAGCCCACTACTGGGTCATGGCCTCCTGGCTACCGGGTCGCGTAAGTGGCTGGCCAGTACATGCATGCATGCTCACACCACCTAGCCTCGGCACGACCTTCACACCTGCGCTAGCCTCAGCGCGACCCTTGGTATGAGTCTCGTACCGGCGCTAACCTTGGTATGACTCTTGCGCTTGCACTAGCCTTGGTGCGACCCTTGGTGTGAGTCTTGCACTGGCATTAGCCTCGGCACGACCCTCATGCCAATGCTAGCCTTGGCGCTAACCTCGACACAACCCTTGTGCCTGCACTAGCTTCGACACATCCCTCATGCCTGCGCTAGCCTCGGTGCTAGCTTCAGTGAGACCTTTGTGCCGGTGCTAGCCTCGGCGAGCCCGTTATGCCGGTGCTAGCCTTGGTGAGACTCTCGCGCCAGTGCTAGCTGCCCCATTTATGGAGCACGCAAGCTTGTGGCCCCATTCACGCGTACGCGTGCGCAGCTACATTTAGGTGTGTGCGCATGCGCACGTAAAGATGTCTGCCCCTCCTTTTCCTACCAGGCCAACCCAGAAAGGTTGGTGATCCCTGTTCTATACGATGTTGGTCTTCAAATAGCCTCATCTATTTTTGGGGGATACTGGGAATCCTAGTCCAAACAGATTTGGAGGTCCATGGATACCTTTCCTCTGGCCAACAGGCTTATTGAAACCTCCCTTGCCCATTAACAGAAGTTGCCAAGATATTGTTCCAGCCTAGGAATATTTTGACCTTAACATTCTGAAACAGAGCAAGTGGGTAAGAATCCTTTTTCCAGTTTCTTGGAGCACCTCTGCTTTACCAATGCTCCCAGATATGAGAGAATTGAGTAGCATGTTGGGGTAAGCAGCAATCTTGCTATGGAAGTGGTAGGTATGAATCTCTCCTTTTTGGCTTGTCTCTTAATTCTTAAACTTTCTCCATAGGATAAATTGGAGAAAAAGCATAGATACAGCCCTCAACCACCCAGGAACCAGATTAGAAAGTCTGGAAAAGGCATGCTGATAAAAAAATTAAGAAAGGAGAGAGGTAGGCACTCCTTTACGCCTGTAGTCTGAGTGACAAAGAACTATCTAAAAGTAACACTCCACCCTCTGATTGAATCTCAGGTTTACTTCATGTTCTGATCCATACCCTGTACTCACATGACATGAAATGGCTCCCATTCTCTAAGCTCATTTTAGATGCGAGGCTACGTCAGTTAGCAATAGGCAGACCAACCATCTGCAACTCTTTTTGGACCTAAAACTTTCCAATTCTTTACCTTCCACCCCTGTGCATTCCAGTAGGGTCTCTTTTGTTTCCTGGAAATCCAGGGCACAGACCAACTTCAGCCTGTTGTGATGGGAAACAAGGTATGGGAAAGAATTTTTGATGGAAACCATCCCGCCTGCTGGAGAAGATGCTTACCCCAACTCCACCACAGGGCAGCATGACAAACATCCGCTGGGACAGGATTCCTGCAAGAACATAAGAGAAGACAACTGGGTTGTAACCAAATATATGGGAGTCAGACTCTTACTGCACCACAGTGCTACACACAAACCATCTGAAAAGGGGGAGAATACATTCAAAGGAACTCTAGGAATTTTAATTCTCTGAAGAGGCAAGTTGGAGAACATTTTGTATCTTCACAGCAATAGCAATAGCACTTAGATTTATATACCGCTTTATATGCAGCAATTAGTACATATTATCTATCACCTGTTTAAATATATGAAGAATGCAGCCAGTGAGCGGTCTAAGGGTATGAGCATCCAAATATATTACAATGACTGAATTGTATTCAGCACAAAAGATGTAAAATGTATTATTGATAGAATTTTGAAATATGTGGCAAGTCTTAACATTTTCCCCATCCTTTGCACCTTATCCTGAATACAGAAAGTACAAATAAGATTCTATTGAACCAGGAACTCATATTTGGCTTTTGAATAAGGGTTTCATCCAAAAAAAAAAAAAAAAAAAGGTAGATGAGATCAGAATTAAAGCTCCCTTTGATGTAATTTAATTTAAACTGAAACTTAGCTCATTAATTAAAGTAATAAGAGTGAATAGGATTGGTTTCTACGTTGTTAAGAATTTCCCCTTAACTGAATTTTACAATTTGGAGGTATCTTTTGGGGGAGGGAGTTCTGGCTTTGTGGTGGGCATAGATTGTGCATTTAAACAGTAAGCAAGAGGGTCAATTATTGCTTGGAAACGGGGGACAGGAATTACTCTCAGCAGGAAGCTGTGGTTAGAAGGCCCAATAGCAATAGTAGTAGCACTTTCACTTATAATACCACTTCACAGTACTTTACAGCCAGTGGTGGGATTCAAATATGTGAACAACCGGTTCTCTGTGTGGATGCCACTTCCGGAAGTCCATTCTGGGCCTGGGCAACAAAAAACATTAGCTACCGGTTCTGCCAAAGTGGTGCAAACCGGCTGAATCCCACCACTGTTTACAACCCTCTTTAAGCGGTTTACAGAGTCAGCATATTGCCCCCAACAATCTGGGTCCTCATTTTACCAACCTCAAAAGGACGAAAGTCTGAGTCAACCTTGAGCAGATCAGGATTGAATCGCTGGCAGTCAGCTGTGAATTAGCCTGCAATACTGCGTTCTAACCACTGCGCCACCACAGCTCTTCGAAGTAGACTTCTTAAGAGTTAAAGTTAGTTTCAAATGAATTGGGCATGCTATATATCATACGGACGTTCTTCCCACTTTGGGGAAGAGTAGAAGTAGGAAAGCATCGTGCACATATTTATGGATAGATAGATGCATGCATATAAAAGGTATGGTAATTCAGCTTGTAGTTGAAGGGGTATTTTGCACTTATAAGAATCAGAGAGAGAAAGAGAGCGAGAGCGCAAGATGAGGGTCTCTCGATTAATTTATCATTTTATTTAAAATACTTATATATTTCCTATCACGTATCAAACAATCTTCTCATGGGATACTCTGTGGAGTCCCATCTTGCAAAAGTGACCTTGGATTTGGGGCAATATTTAAAATTATTGGGCTGGAGAAGTCCTCATTCAGGTACTATGGGAAGACATTGGCTGACTAGGGGGGTGTCACTGAATTATTTTGGAGGACATAAAGGAGAAATGATTGCTGTCTTCTTATGCCACTTGGAGCTCCTTAGAAGAAAGGTGGATATAAATGAACTAAAGGAGCAAACAAATGACACAAGAAAGGTGCAGCACAGCTGAAGACTGTCTTCACTTGAAACATCCTAGATTTCCCATTTCTTCTCCCTAGCACGACAACGATTAGATCTCAGTCATTCGCCAGCTATTCATCCTGGGATGGTATTTATTAGTGGAGCATATCTACACCAACACAGAAGATTGCAAGACGGTTCTGGCAGGTTTTGGCCCCGGAGATGCACTATCCTTTTTGGCTCTCCTCAACTTCAATCCATGGATGAAGGGAGACATTACATTGCCTCTTACCTGCCAATTTGCCATTGTCCAGCTTCAGGCGACTGAGAGGGTTGGTGCCGTATAACAGCACGTGACGCTCAGTATGAACGGACTGCAACTCCTCCAAAGTGGCTTTGCGTCCTCGAAGGCACTAGCAGAAAAACAAGGGTTGGCTTACATCACAAGAATCAGACAATGAAACAGGCTTCTGCAGATATTCTAGGAAGCTGACTGAGATGCTGGGGAGAAAATAACGAAGCTCTGAGAAAAAAGATAAATATTTCTAGGATTTAGTGCTTGACTTAGAGGCTGCTGGCTTGAGAGCCAGCTGCAGCATTCTGGTGTTTCCAAGCATTGAGGCTGTCTCTAGACAATCTCCTTGGCTTGCTTTAAGGGGGAGGCACATCCTGAAAGGAGTCAACCATTTAAGGTAGTGGAAGCAGGGCTCTTTTAAGAATGGACAACATTTGGTCTGACTCATGGCTTGTACATTCTATGGAGAGGTTTTCCCAAAACAGCATGTCTGACACAGGTTGTGCACAACCATTATGTCAAAAGGTCTCTCCAAACTGGTCCCCCATCCAATGGGCCAATGGAACAATTTTGTTTTTTTTTTCCTCCCTCTATTTCACTCATGAAGATGCTATCATGCTTGGAACAACCTTCTGGATCTTTGGGGTGCTTGTGTGTGAGAATGGGACGGGACAGAACAGAATAGAACTTGGAAGGGACCTTGGAGATCTTCTAGTCCAGCCCCCTGCTCAAGCAGGAGAACTTATACCATTTCAAATAACTGACTGCCTAGTCTCTTCTTAAAAATGTCCAGTGATGGAGTGCCCATGATTTCTGAAGGCAAGCTGTTCCACTGGTTAATTGCTTTGTGTGTGCATGCAAGCGTGCGCGGGTCCGTGTGTGTGTGTGTAGAAGCACACTGCTATTGCTGGGAACGTTCCATCCATCCACAAAGAATGTGCATAGTCCATCTAGTTAATATTTTGGAACAAAAGCTAGAGATAAAAAGGGAATCTACGCTTACTTTGCAGATATGAAGTAAAAGGAAGAAGCAGAGGAAAGAAAAAGCTAAATCTCTGATTCAAGCTATATGGGGAGTGAGGAATTTTAAAAGAAACTAACTGTCCATAATTGTTTTGAGATGTGCGAATGTTTCTGGTGAGATGCACATCTGTCAGGCATCTGTAAAGTAGGCATTGTCATAAAACCTGGCTAGAATTTATGGAACCTGTTTACCACTCAATCCATCAAATGCTTTTGAATTATCTGAGAAACTAATGATGGTTTTATGTGTACATCAGTGGATAAACATTTAACTATGGAAATATCCATTGTTTTAATCACTGGCTAGAAATAAGATGATGGGCAAGGCTTACAAGGAGAGAACTGGAATCTTGGCTAAGTAGGTGTTCCTTCAGAATGGGAACGCAGGCTATTGCCTTTTGACTGGGTTTAGGTTCCTCCGGAAAAATTTCTAAACTTCTTCATCTTTGACTCTTCCAGTCTAGAGCCTCCCAAATGTATCAGGACTGCAAAACTCAGAAATCAAAGCAATGTGGTCTTCAGGGTATTGGAGTCAAAACCACATGGAGGAAATTAAAGAGAGTTGTCTCATTTCTGACTTCCCCGACTTTCTTTTTCTGCATTCTACTCTTTAAACGAGGAAAAGACTGGTTTATGTTTTGTCTTGAGTATCTTAGAAATTAGGGCCACAGAAGTCTTACTATCCTCACCAAAGTATGCTAACCAGGTATTTGGAGGGGTGGGTGAGGGAGGGACAGAGGGGGTAGAAGAACCATTAAACTGGAGAACAGCCAATTGACCAGAAATAATAAATAGCCCATCTTCTGTGTATTTTATAGCAGCCTGATGTGCAAAAATCAAGTGAAGTTTTTTTTCACACCAGAGAATTAACTACTACCATCTGTTATGTCTGCAGATGAAATACTGCTCTATCTGCAAGATACAATGCCCAATAAAAACCAGTTCATTCAAATATTCATATAATACACCACCTCCCTCTCTTAGCCCTAGACTGGGTAATTCAAAAATATCTGTCTACTAATCTGCAACGAAGAATGTGAGAGATTGTGGTCATAACCATTAGTGAAGAGTCCTTTGTCCTACACGGAATTGATTTGCACTGATTATTACACACATAAACACACACAGAGAAAGAGAGATTTAAAATGCCATTGCTGCTTGGGACCACGATCTAATATAATTACATGAAATCACAGGGAAGAAGTATGCTTACAAATAATATTTCTCATAATCATATTGTAAGGTTAAATCAATTCCTCTTTTAGTTTAATACTATACAGTAATTTAAATATGGATAGTTCTCAATGCTGAAAGAAGTGACTTCTGACTGATCCTCACACTTATGACTTTTGCAGCGTCCCCATGGTCGAGGCCACACTTCAGATACTTAGCAACCAGTATATATTTATGTCCTGGACCATATGATTGGCATTTACAACCTACCCAACTGGCTTCTGACAAAAACAATGGAGAAGCCAGCAGGGAAGGTTGCAAATGTCTTGCTTAATGATTGCATCACTTAATGATGGATTTTTCCAGTCCGAATTGTGGCAGTAAATCAAGGACTCTCTGCATTGCTTCTTTAGCAATTCTTTCTCTATTAAACTGAGGCCTGTTGACCTTACTGCTGTTGAATAAGCTACTCTGGATTTTGGATGTTTTAGAAAGTAACAGTGCCTCTCTTATTTATATCCCTCTTTTATTATTTTTATAGGTCACTCAAGGTGGCAAATATCTGTTGTCTCTCATCCTGTAATAGAAAGGCAACAGTACTAAAGCTCAAGTTCTGAGGGTTGGCAAAACCACGAACAATTATACATTTAGGTTCAAATATGTTTCTAGCCCACATTGCTGCAGAAATTAATTAAAGCTAAAGTATCAGTGGCATGAGACGCCATTTAGCTTTCTAAAAAAGCTGTTGCCCAAAATTTGTTTTTATAAACAACAACCACAAAAGCCCACCATCACCACTTTCCATATAGAAATGTAATTTTTTTTTAAAAAAAAAGAATTAGCCACCAGTAAATATGTATAGAATTATTGATTGTCTTGCAGATTCTGTATCTAAATCAGCAGCCAATCAAGGAGAGAAGCAACTACAAGGACTAAGGAGAAATTTCCTGGCAGTTAGACCAATTAACCAGTGGAACAACCTGCCTCCAGAAGCGGTGAATGCTCCAACACTGGAAGTTTTTAAGAAGAGACTGGACAGCCATTTGTCCGAAATGGTATAGGGTTTCCTGCTTGAACAGGGGGTTGGACTAGATGACCTCCAAGGTCCCTTCCAACTCTTGTTATTCTGTTATTCAATCAGATTGAGAGAACAGAGGATTGTTCTGTATTCACATCTGGCCTGCACTGCCCCCTACCTCACACTGGTTGCGTAGGCCACGCTCCTGTAGGCGAGACCAGATGCTCTGGATTCGGCCTGCGTGCTCAGGATGGTTGCTGTTGTCTCCACACGAACACTGATGTTTCAGCATGACCGAATCATACACGATCCCTAAAACAGCAGGAAAAGAGGCATCCGAGTCATTCATAAAGCTTGAGTTTTATTTGGACTCAGTGAGTCTCGAGTGCTAGTTTAAACCTGAAGAATCAGCACCTGGGATCCTTTTTCTAGGACAAAAAGACAGCCTGGAGATGAGAAGTTGTTAACTCTAAATCTTTTCTGCTTGAATAAATAAACTCTGCAGATGGACAATTTTTGACTGGAGATTTTTTTTTTCTTAACCCACAAGAACATTCCTTTTAAAAGTTCTAGGATATGAATGGGATTATTATTACTGCAGTAAAAATGCTAATACCGATGAGCATGAAAAGTATTAGTACATGAAAGTATGTATTTTTCTGTAATAAGTGGAAGAGATTTTGTTTTCTAAAACAGACATCCACTGAAACACAATACAGGGTGAAGACTATATATCACACACAATTTCTGCAAGTGGGGTTTCAGGTAGACTCCTTACTACTTTAAATTACATATCAAGCTTTATATTTATAGTTAAATGTTTCGTGCAATGTATTTCTTTAGGTGCCATGCAGTTTGGTTTTTTTTTTTTTTGAAAAAAAATTCAATGCAATAAAAATACAACATTCCAATAAAACAGTGGCATTCAATGCAGTATTTTATCAAGGGGTATGTATTTGTATTTTTCAGCCTTGGCATCTTTAAGGTATACGGACTTCAGTTCCCAGAATTCACCAGCCAACCAGCTTGAAAATTCTGGGCTGAAGTCCACACAACTTAAAATTGCCAAGGTTGAGAAACATGAGTATATACTGATATAGCTTAAAGTACTACACCAATGCAAAATAGATATAAGAACTGGTTCCGATAAATGAAACTCTTCAAAGAACTTTGAGGCATTGTTTACCTTAAATAATCTTTATTTGAGTAGCATAGCATCGGCATTTACATAGCTGAAGCCAAAATCTGAGTTTCCCCTCCCCTGAGCACATAGTATCAAAGCACAATTCCCTCCTCCAATTAACGGTCATAAATCACATTCTCCAATTAGTTTGAAATGCAGGCTTCCCCTCCAGTTCTCCAGCCTGCCAATTCTTATCATCTCTTATTTCAATATCCTTGGTTCACACACTAGGTTCAGTATTATTAAACTCCCATGAACATTCCTTCTCCTCCCCCTCCCCCTCCTCCTCTTCCTCCTCCTCCTCCCTACAGCATCATCTAACTCAGTGTTTCTCAACCTTGACAATTTTAAGGCATGTGGACTTGTGGACTTCAACTCCCAGAATTCCACAGCCAGCAATGCTGGCTGTGGAATTCTGGGAGTTGAAGTCCACATGCCTTAAAATTGTCAAGGTTGAGAAACACTGATCTAACTCTAACTCTAATTCTAAGAGTAAAACATAAGAAGAAAATGGTTGCATCTCCATCTGTTGTCAAAGCAAAAACATCCGATGTTAGCAGCATTGACAAACATCTTCTATCTGCCTATTCAAAAATCTGTTCTAAGAGATGAGGAAATAGATTTGGTTGAGGCTAATGGATGAATAGCAGGTAGAGAACCGTGTCAAGTTGCCTTTCTTAGCCTGGGTGAGGGGAGGGGCTCCTTTTCTCTTGGCATAAATCAGGCGACTGCAGCCCCGTATTAAAATTTCGATGTATAATGGCCCAATGTCCTGACAATACAAGTAGTCCTCTACTTAGAACCATCACTGGGAGCAAGGTGGCTGTTAAATGAGAAGCACTCAATTTTACAATTTTTTTTTGCCACAGTTGTTAAACAAATCACTGCAGTTATTAAGTTAATCATACAGCCGTTAAGTCAGTGGTTCTCAACCTGTGGGTCGGGACCCCATTTGGGGTCGAATGACCATTTCACGGGGGTCGCCAAACCACGCTGTCCACCATTTTTGTCCCTTTTCCCTAGTTGTCCTACTCCCTCTTATTGGTGGCCACACCCACTTGGCCACACCCCTGGGGGTCACCACAACACGGGGAACTGTATTATGGGGTCAGGGCATTAGAAAGGTTGAGAACCACTGCGTTAAGTGAATCTGGCTTCCCCCATTGGCTTTGCTTCTGGGAAGCCGCCAGCTAGGAAGTTTAACAAATGGTGATCAGATGAGCCCCGGACATGGCTACTGTTGTAAATACCTGCCAGTTGCCAAGTGCCCAAATTTTGATCCTGTCACTGTGGGGATGCTGTGATGGTTGTTAAGTGAGAGGACCGGTGGTTGGTCACTTTTTTCGGTACCATTGTAACTCTGAACAGTCACTCAATGAATGTTTGTAAGTTGAGGACTTCCTGTACACATTTCCTGGTCAGGAGCAGACAGTCATTAGGGATAGAGGAAAGTGAGGAGGGAAGAGAATCAGAGCATGGCCCCAGATCATGTATCCTAAGGCATGTTTTATTTGTAACTGTGGTTTGTTGAGAAAGCCACAATCAAGTTCACATTATGCCATAAGCCATGGCTTGCAAACCAATAGCTAGAATTACATGTCCCATACAGAGGATGAGGTTCCATGTCTGGTGGAAGAAAAGGGTGGGGAAATAACTTGCTCGCCAGAGTTGCAGGTCAAGTGTAATGTACAAGACTAAAGGTAAAAACATCCACTCTAGTCATATGATCACATTGTCAGTTTTCCTGACAATGGTATAGAAGCAGCTTGTCACTCCCTTCTCACAAGAGGGTGTCCCCCCCCCAGTTTCTCCCTATCACCCTTGGATTTCCTGATGGCTTTCCACCCTACTATTAATCGAGTTCAACCCAGCTTAACGTTTTGGAGAACTTTTGGCCAAGTTCAGTTAAGTGCTACCAACGGCTACAGTCAAACACATTTGTCAAAGACAATGAGAAGCATAAACATGGATGTCAGGGGATGCCAGCCTGAGCTGCCTGTTGACTGGGCAGCTGTATACATTGCACAAATAAACGAGCAACTATCTCCACAAAACCAAGGGAGAACGTGGCATGTTACCTGTGGTGAAGCGGGGTTTGATGGTCTGTTCTTGCACTGGGAGTGGGATAGCCTTGGAAGACGTGTCCTGGCTAGGTAGACAGGCGGTGGCCGGGGCAGGTGAGGAATGAGCCCGGGAGAGGGGTCGATGGCCTCCCCGTGTGGCTGGGGTCAGCAACGAGTCGGCAGGCTGCCTGCGGAGGAGTTGTTGCTGTGGCATACGCTGTTGTTGTTCCCAGATATAATGGGCCTGTGGATGGAATTAAGAGCCTGGTCACGTGGGGGAGGTCCTACTGCCCATCTCTTCCACTAAAACTAAAAGGAAGGCTTCTACGCTGGCTTGGCTTAGCAGCTGCCGCCCTCTAGTGCATTTGAGTGGCAAAGACACAATCATAGCCACAGATTTGGAAAAGAGAGAGAGAAAAGAACAGGAAAAAGGGGTGCTCTGTGTCAGGGATCAGAGGAGGTAGTTAGATAAGTTCAGAAGCTTTCTAGGAAAATCAAGAGGCAATTTTTGAATCCTTTCCTGGAACAGACACCGAAAATTAAAGGATGTTTCTAATCCAGCCTGTCAAGCCCTAGGACAGCTTTGGAAAAATGTGATCAGGGACGATCACAGGCCAGGCTTGCTAGGGAATCAGAGAGTGGAGCCTAGGGGCTAACAAAGGCTGCTGGAAGAACATGTTTTAGGGGTGTCAATATCAGGAGCCCAACTCACACTCTCACAATTGTCTTATTGTGTGCATGTGTGTGAAAGGGGGAGGGAGAGGGAGAGAGCGATCACCCTCTGAGCAGAAAAAGGGCATAATGATGAGAGGGGAACTTCTGCTTGGAAATTAGACACACTACCTTCCTTTTGATTTACGTTCCTGCTTCTCTAGGAAACACATTTAGGATTACCATTAATAGCAGTAAAACCACTTTTCTACTGTAGGGAGGGCGTGTCTGTTATTTGCAAAGGGCTTTTCAATGAGACAGTTAAATCTGAGACAGCTAAAACGGTGTGATGCCATTATGCAAAAGATAAACATGGCCAGAAAAGACATCATGGGTGTTATTACATCACTGGCCTAATCGCTGCAGCAAGGTTTTGATGTGGAAACCTAGTCTGTTGAATGGGAAATCTGTTACGTCCCAGGGAAGCAAAGGATCTGCTGTTTATTTCATGCAAAGGTATTCTGAGAAAAACATGGAAATGAAAGGAGTGTGGGAGGAATATTTCTTTGGGAAAGAGAGAAATTTAACTCTGTCATGTTCACTATAGTTTTTCAAGAGTAGCTGCATCAATGGGCATGTGTATGCATTTACACACACAAAAAAAATAAAGAGTACATTTTCGCAGAATCAATGTTTCACAGAATTAGGATCTCAACATTGCAGAAAAGACAAACCACAGCATGCCAGAAGGAAGAGCACAGCAGTCTTTAACTTTGTTAACATACAGCCTTTCAGAAGAAGGAAAACATTTATTTAAGTTCTCTTTATCCCAGTTAGTTTCCAATACCTGTTGAAGGACCAGCTCCTCTCGAGGCTGCTGACCCAACCTGGAGATCCTTTCTGCTTCCTTGCTGCCGCCTCCTGACGGTGAAGGCTCCCCCTGGGCTTGGGGCTGCTCACATGGGTCTTCTCCTGCCTCGGCCTCCATGTCTTCGGAAGAGGGGATCTGCTGCAGGCGAGGCTTCTCGCTGGATTTGGCCATGCGCTGTGCGGGGGGGGGGGAAGTAGAGAGAGACAGTCATGAAGGAGCAGGTAAGCTCACCAACCCAAACTCACAATCGCCACGACTGCGGAAATACAAATGGCTTGCAAGGGATCTCAGCTTCAGCCTGTCATGTAGACTTGCCTGTAAGTTAGGTCTTCAAATTTTAAAAGGACAGAACACTATGAAAAAAAAGGTGCCACCTTTGGATAAGCCTGTTTATCTGCAGAGGGACTTATCTGTGAGTATCTATGGGCAACAGAGTGGAATGGAATGGAATAACAACTTTATTGTCACTTTGAATGTACACTAATCAGCGTACATTAAAATGAAATTTTGTTGTATGCAGCTCTCAAAGGGTCCCCACCTCCAAATACCCTACATAAATATCACACACAGACACACACACACACAGAGAGAGAGAGAGAGAGAGAGAGACAAACACACATTTATATATAGGTGCATGCATATATCCACATTCATTCTATGACAAAGAGAAACCACACAGTCCAGTTGGGATTATGTATGCATGTGCATGGCGAGAATATGGGTACTTTTAAAAAGGCGTTACCATATATAGCCACGCAGAGTCATCTGGTTGAGATGGGCAGCCACAAAAATTAATTAAATAAATAAACACACTCACAGATAAGCTGAACCCAATTTGGTGTGTATGTGTGTGTGTGTGTGTGTGTGTGTGTTTCATTTTGGCACCTAAAATTCTCAGGTTATCTGCGAGTATGTGTGGTATTTTTGGAGGACCTGAAGAAGACTTCTGGGCCTAGCGAGGCATCACTCTTCCTCAGTACAATGGGCCTTTCCCTTGCTCTGCCAGTGATCCATCTTGTGCAATTTTAGCTTCTTTTTTAAAAGAAATATTATTAATAACAGCTTAGTTTGAAAGAGTCGGCGTCAGATGTAAGGTCTACTGCCAATTCCAGGCCTTCTTTATTCTGTGCTTGAAAAAGGTCCCGTGCCCTTAAAAACCATCTGACATAAATGAATGGCCAAGCAGCTTTTTTTCACAAAAAGGTGACCATTAGTGACTTGCCCCCAAATGAATAAGGTCTCTTGTGGGGTGGGATTAGAAATATACCTTCTACCCAATTCCCTGGCATCACATCCTCCCGCATAGCAGTTGAAGAAGACCAAAACTGGAGCCCACCTTTCCCAGTTGGGTCTGCTGCTTCAGATGCTCCAGGAAGTAAGCGTGGTGCTGCTGGTAGGCCAGCTGCTGCTGCACCGTTCTGGGATTGGACGGCAGGGGCTCCGAGCGGGTCCGTCCCAAGGGCTTATGGATCATCGGCATCGGCAGCCGCTCCGAAGGAAGCACTGAAGGGCTGAAGTGAAAGGGGACTGATCCCAGCCCTGGAACTGCAAACGGAGGAGACATGGGGTTGAAGGTAGCAGGGGGCTCCCCAAAAAGGCTTAAGGGGACATTCACGTGTGGTGGGAACAAACTGATCCAGAAAACAGCCCTTGCAAATGCTGATAAGGAGTCTGAGAGAATTCTTAAAAATCAACGTGCATTTCTAGTCTATGAAAATAGACTGTTCTAAATGACGCACCTTAAGCATTGGGTTATGAAACTTGTCTGTCTTCAGGTTTATAGTCCACAAGAGAAGTAAAAAAAAAAAAAACCCACATTAAAGAAACAAACAAACCTAACTAAAATGATCTCCCAACAATTCAAAGTGTTCTTTTTCACTCTCAAAATCACAGCCTGCTTATTCTTACTGTAAGGATAAAATGACCACTATTTAAAAACAGGATGAAAGGGAGGGAATAACTTACACATTCTTCTCCCAGACTGCTTACAATTGTAGAAAGTCAATACAACATATGAAAACCAGTTTGAAATCCCCAACAAAAATCCAGTGCATCTCAAGAGGTATTTTAACAGATACTAACTCAAAACATAAATACATAAAACACTGAAAATGCAACAATGTGGATTAATTATAGCCAATTAGGTCTTGCGCCTCCAGGGTTAGCAATTTGGTATCTTCCAGATTTTATGGGCTACTTTTCCTGCAACTGAGCTTGTGAATTTTATTTTACAAGAGATTAAAAATGGCCCTGTGGACAGGAGGATGGAACGTAAAACCTCTGCACGGGGCCACATCACTGAACCCTGAAGTATAGGACCCCAGCTGTAATTTAATTCACATTAAATATATATATTTGCAATATTTCTGCATTTGGGGCAAGCCTGAATTAACGATCTTCTTGCTAATATGCTGGTTTGCTGTTGTTTTTAACCGACTGTGGCATTTAAGTGTTTTCCTCTTTGCTACAATTGGGAAAAGCCCTCTGTTCCTCCTCCTCCTCCAGGGTTGCCATACACAGAAAGTTGCTCTGCAGGCCCTGCAAGACTAATCCCAGGGCATTGGTATCTTAAGCTGATTTTGAATACATTAAGTCACCCGAGATTTACTGCAGTGATTGAGGTAATCAATGGAGGTAGCAACGTGAAGGCCAATGTTCAACAGGCAAGCCCCACACAGAAGCGAAGCAGGACCTTTCTTCTTTGAAAAATTGGATTTCCAATATTAATCAGGGATACATTTGGTGTAGCTTCTGTTTAATTCCTGCTTATCGTATTTTTTCCTTTGGTAAAATACAAACTGATAAGTTTGCTTGCTAGTTCAGTACAAATGGTACTTGCCTCATTTCTAACGCTACGATAGCCTTTTCTGACGGGTACCCTCCAGATCTGTTGGATTGCAACAGAGGGCATGGAAGCTGAACAGGCCAGGAAGAACCCATTTAGAAAAGGGTCTACTGTGGCATATGTTCTATATGTGTGTGTGTGTTTTTAAAAAAGTATTCAATTTATACTCGCATTTCCTCTCAAACAAGCATGCAAGCTTTAGCTGCAGGTAAAAATATAAAGCATATGACTTCCTTAACTATATAAACAACAAAAGGTTAAGGAGTCCCTGTGGATTTTTACTCCACTAGTTGGTGCCAACTGCAGGGAGCGGTGCTCATCTCCATTTCGAGGCCACTGAGCCAACGCCGTCCGAAGACATTTCTGATCATGTGGCCAGCCTGACATCATGGAGCACTGTTAACTTCCCCATGGAAGTGGTACCTATTAATCTACTCGCATTTGCATGCTTTTAAACTGCTAAGTTAGCAAGAGCTGGGGTGAGGACAGGAGGACACCCCATTGCGCGGTGCTCAGGTTTCAAACCTGGGCTGCCAGCTTTCTAGCCAACAAGCCCAGGGTCTTAACTGCTGAGCCAACGTGCCACCCTATATAAACAATAAGAGCTGTAAAATGTATCCATAAAAATCAATAGTAGCAATCAATTAAGAGAGTGTGACACGCCAGAAACCTTTTTATTGGACAGAGGCTCAGATACTTTCCATAAGTTCAATTCAGCAAATTCATGAGCCTCTTCTGTGAATAGGATCAGGCTGTGACCCATTAAAATAGCCACATCTGTTTCCAGAAGGACATGGCTGCCACAGAAACAGCTGCATAACAGTGGGAAAAGGTGTGCCTATTTCAAAGGGCCATGGACAAGTGTTAAATTGGGGTTCCTCAGTATTCCAAAGCACTGAGCTGTATCCAAAGCACTATATAGTCTTATCCCAAGTAACTGTGCACAATGTCCCTGTTACTTCTTGATAATTATGCTCCTCCTGAATGACTTTTCTAGAAAAGCCGAATGCTAATACCTGTGAGCACACATCAGAGACTGCCCTACACCTTGCTAAATCTAGGCAGACCTTCACCTGTTGCTGAACTTCAACTCCCAGCATTTTTCAGCCCCTGAACAGGCTTCCTGGGAATCATGGAAGTTATAGTTCAGCAATCTAAGTAAGGCAAAGTTGCCTGTTCTCTGTGTTCTATGCTTCCATGCTTTCCAAAAGATGAAAGGCCATTGACTCACCTGTAACCAGAGGAGTGTGTGTAAGCGAGGGCTCCAGAATGATAACAGGATGAAGTCGAGGGGACAGAGGTCTTCCAGGTTCGTGTTGCTCCAGGTTGGCAGGTAGGAACATGGGTGTGTGAGTGCTAGTCAGGACAGGCACCTTATGCGCAAGGCCTGGGTGTGCCCTGTGATCACCATCCCCCTGTACAGACAGAATTGCAGAGTGTGAATGAACAGCATTTATCTGAATCCCAAGTAATCCTTCCCCAATATCCTTATAGGAGCAATGTAGAGAAATTAGCTGGGAGTCTTCAAAAGGCAAACAAAAACAAAATAGAAAGGTAGAGTTGAGGACTTTGGACAAACTGCAAATCCATGTTTAAAAAAATGTAGAAATTCTGTTCTTCAGAATTTTTCATCAATCTATGTTAGACCAGGTGGCTTGACTTCTTAATGTTCTCCAAACTGGCTTTTTTCTTCCTGCAGATGTTTCACTGCTGGGCTTTGTGTATTATCAGTGCACTAAAATGTACTGGTGATATTACTTGCCTGGTAATGAAACCTCTCCAGGAAAAGAAACAAACTCAGTAAACCTGAAAAACCCAACAATCCTAGGCTATATATATTCACCAATGTGTCAAATTTAGCAGGTGAATTTTCATTCTCCACTAGCTGTTTCCTTCTTTTTAAAATGATCTACAGGTAGGCCTCAGCTCACAACACTTCATTTAATGAAATTACAATATCACTGAAAAAGGTGACAACACTTACAACTGTTACAGCATTCCCCATGGTCACGTAATTTACATTTGGATGCTTGACAACTGACTCATATTTATGACAGTTGCCGTGTCCCTGGGTCATGTGACCTTCTGACAAGCAAAATCAATGGAGAAGCCAGATTCACTTAACTAATTTAACAAGCGCAGTGATTCACTTAACATCTGTGGCAAGATGTTAAGTGAATCTGGGGCAAAACTCAGTTAACAAATGTCTCACTTAGCAACAGAATTTTTGGGCTCAACTGTGGTCATAAGTGGAGGACCACCTGTATTTCCACTTAGGATTCAATTGGCCACTGTCTTCTGCTGCCTTTCTCAAGCTACTGCATGTCTTAAGACTACAAAGACTACAAAGTCCTTTTGGTTGGACTGCTGTTTTGGGAGTTCAGCTGCAATGCGTCTAGCAGTTTCCCGATTAGGAAAGTCAGAGTGAAACATGTCCAATCTACTGCCTCCATCCCCTTTTCTCTTGCTACAACTTCTTAAAACATACCCTGGCAGATGCTGCAGAAGGAGCTGGTAGTCCAAGGGTGAGGGCTGGGAGAGAGCTACTGGTCTGAAGAGCATACTGAGCCAGTGAGCTTTCCTGCATTCTCAGGCGCTGAGCTAGTGGGGCCTATAAGGAGAAAAAAAAAAAGAAAAATAGTAATCCACCCAGTTTAATAGCTCTCATAACAGTGAGAATATTGTTATATGTATGGTGGAATTCTCTGCGCCTGGGAACAAAGAAGGACATTTCCATTTACATGTCAACTCTCTTACAGAACCTCGTAACCAAGAAAGCAAAAACCTCAGAGACAAAGTCAGCAGGTTTATCATAAGGGGGAGGAGAATGGTGGCTCATGTGGTTAGGATGCTGGTATGATGACTGCCAGGCTGGCATTTGAAACCCGGTTGCTGCTGCGGGACAAGGTGAGCTCCCCTCACTCGCTCCAGCTCCTGCTGACCCAGCATTTTGAAAGCAGGCAGCCATGAGTAGATAGATGGTTACCACTTTGGTAGGCAGATTAGCGAGGCCATGAAAGGAGCCCCCAATTGGGTGACCTCCAGGCAGTGGTGATGTCACCAGCCAATCCTTTCAACCCAGAAGCACTTCAGCATTCCCGACAGGATTGTAGTAATCACAAAGGAAAAAAAGGTTAGAAGGCCTTGGAAACTTTAATCCTCTAACTAAGTCGTGGTTGAATGGGGAGGATGCAAATCGCTTATGTCCAACTGTTCTTCTGCAATATTTGTTTAACTGGTCCACACCCGTCCTTTACATAAGGGCTAAAATAAATGTAGAAGGGTTTTCTGATTCTCATGCCAAGGAAAACAACTTCAGAAAATAAATGCTAGAAACCCTCAAAGGGGCAAATAAAAATCTGTAGGAAGATTGATATGGAAAAATGGGAGGAAGAGAGCTAGGCTTTAAATTTTGGGAATATCATATAAAATATATAAAAATTATTCAGCATTGTTAAAATCACCCATAAGGATTGAGATAGTACATAAAATGCACAAATGAAATAGGTAAACATCTGGTATACACGATTTTGTGCAATAAATCTACTGTATTCATTAAAATCTTTTGAGTTTGCCTGGGAATGTGGAGTGAGGAGAAAGGTCAATTGCCATACCTCTGATGGGTATCCACCTTGCCCCTGCTATGCATTTATGAAAGCTGACGGGCACCAGCAACAAGTTCAGCCTGAAAATATGACTCCATCAGGGATATCAAAGAATCCATATTCTCTTATAGAACAGTATATACTTTCACTTCCCTCCAGTTCTGCTTTCTATCAGTGTGGCATCAGGGAAAGGCTCTGTATTTATTTAAGCCTTTCTTATTTCACCTTTCTTCTGAATGTATTATTGACAACAAGGGCTGTTGCTGCTGCTGAAAACCAAATGGAAGCACAAACTTATATGAGATGCAACTCAAGTCCATCAAGCCAAATCCCGTTAGTGCTGACCAGCACCAGCTCTTTAGTGTTCAGTCTTGCCTAACAAGTTTTGGAGTAAACATGGGATCTTCTGGGCTCATTGATGTGCTACAATTTTCCCAGAAAAGAAATTGGGGAATGAATGAATGAACAAATTGTAAAAATAGCAACATCAGAAGAATATCCCCCAAAACAAAAAAAATGTAGTAAAAATGAAAAATGGAAAAAAAAACCCTCTTTGCAATCTATTTAAAAATGTGCAAAACAATGTGGCAAAATGCTTTATAAAGTGGGGTTCTTGGTGTTCTCCGAGCTTGATAAAATTCTCGCAGACATTTCATTACCAAACTAGGTAACATCATCAGCACTGATAATGTTACTTCGTTTGGTAATGAGTGAGACATCACAAGAATACCACCAAGTTCAGAGAGCACCAAGGGCCCCACAGTTCAACCTTGTAAATATTCTCTTCTATTGATTCTACAGTGTATATAGAGTACATGGGATGTGGAATTCTTATAGAACAAAAAACAATCAACAAGAAATCCCCCAAAATGTCACTGTTCCAAGGCACATTGTGTGGTAAGAAATAGACATACTTGGCTTTGCTTCCACAAATGGCATTTTGGTAAGTGGCGACTAGTCATCTCAGTGACTCTGCAACACAGCAGTTTTCTGTAATACTTCCAATCCAAGAAATCATATGAACTGTTAGTATCACATTATAATGCCTTGGTAAGACCCTACTTGGAATACTGCATCCAGCTTTGGTTGCCACAATGTAAAAAAGATGCTGAGACTAGAAAGAGGGCAGAGAAGAGCAACAAAGATGATTAGGGGGACTGGAGGCTAAAACATACAAAGAATGGTTGCTGGAATTGGGTATGTCTAGTTTAACAAAGAGGACGAGGGGGGACATGATAGCAGTGTTCCAATATCTAAGGAGCTGCCACAAAGAAAGAGTCAACCTATTCTCCAAAGCGCCTGAAGGCAGGACAAGAAGCAACGGGTGGAAACTAATCAAGGAGAGAAGCAACCTAGAACTAAGGAGAAACTTCCCAATAGTTAGAACAATTAATCAGTGGAACAAATTCCCTTCAGAAGTTATGGATGCTCCAAAACTGGAAGTTTTCAAGAAGAGATTGAACAGCCATTTGTCTGAAGTAGTATAGAGTTTCCTGCCTGAGCAGGGAGTTGGACTAGAAGACCTCCAAGATCCCTTCCAACTCTTGTTATTCTATATAAGAGATGAATTTTCAGCATCCATATTAAAGCACACAGGTTTTATATCTGATTGATTCCTTGAATGGGTGACTCATCCACCCCCATGTAAGAACAGGACATACATTTAGCAAAGAAGTGTAAAATGCAAAGAGGAGCCAAAATCATTAAGCCCCAATTGATAATAAGTGCCGTCTAAGATACAAACAGGTTGAATGTAATTTTTGACTGAAGATCAGAAGCTAACTTGCCTCCTATTTTACCCAATGGCTAAAGGTTTTGATCAGCTGCATGCAATTGAGTAAGCAGTTATTTACAAGCCTCTTGATCAGGGGTGTCAAACTGCCAGCCCATGGGCCGGACACGTCATCCGGAAGCTGCGCCCACTCATTGCCGGCAATGGCAAAACCGTCCTGATACATTGTGCGACGTCATGTGATGTCATGAGTTTGACATGTCTGCTCTTGATGATGCCCATTCTTAATCTCCCAGATCTATGTTATCAATTGTCTTGGCTACTTTCCTATGGGTTCTGTACCTCTTGAATAAGCCCTGGTGTGGCTCCATGTTCTGGCACCAGACTGTCATTGGGTGAACTGCATCCAGAGACTGGGGTGCTGCTGCTGCTGGGGGATGAATCTGCAGGTGATGAGAGAGGACACAAGGCTTTGGTTACGGGACAGGCAGTACAAGCAAAGTGAGGGTCAAGGACACCATCCCAGGATTCAACAAAACATGTTAGGATAGCCTTTCCCAATCCACATCCTATGACCGTATGGGACTATCAATCAAATGATCCCTAGTCAGAATGGAGGGAGATGATAAGAATCTGTAGCATAAGCACAACTTATCCTTAACCTACGCTTAACCCTAGAATTGGGATCAATCCAGGCTTGTCTTCAAATGAACTGCTTAGAACCATGGTGGCCAACCTATGGCACGCATGCCACAGGTGGCATGCAGAGCCCTCTATATGGGCACGCATGCCGTCGCCCCAGTCCTAGGACTTCAGCTGGGTTTTATAAAACCTTTTCACTTTAAGCCTCCACCGCTGTGTGCAAAATAAAAAAAAAAGATTCAATCAATCAATCAATTTCAACTTCTCACAGGCAAAAAAAAAAAATCTAGCAAAGTTGGAATTGATTGATTGAACTTTTTAGTCCCACCCAGGCTGCTGTTATCACCGCAGCCACGCCCACCCAATGGGCCACACACACACAATGCGCCATGCCCACCCAGCACACGACGATACATAAGTGGGTTCTGGGTTGCAGTTTGGGCACTCAGTCGCTAAAAGGTTTGCCATCACTGGCTTAGAAGCTCAAAGACTTCCAGGCTGAGACCTATCATGTCACCAGGGGTGCCAATTCATTGTCCCAGGAATAATTTCAGATTGTCTATCTCTGCTCCATTCCAATGCGAAGGGGCGCACACCAGGAAAAGCCCCCTTCCACCAAATCCTTTGGATGGGTTCTTCTTACCAATGGCTTCTGCCGGGCGCCTTTTCAAGGAAGGGGGGGCGCTTTCCTTCCGGGTCAATGGGTTTTTGCGCCGTTCGGTTTTTTTAGCTTTACAGCGCAACTTCAGGTTGGGCTCAGAGGCTAAAAGAAATACAGAGAAGAGGGTCAGACGTGCTTGGAGCAAAAGTCCACCTAGCTTAGCAGAGATACATCCTAGGGTGCTCAGCAAGACATTGCAGGGAAGAAAGGTGGTTCAAGGCATTTGGCACCCCAAAATCAACCAAGGCATTTGCCAGCACACTAGGATAAGCATTATCCAAGGCCACAGAAATGCAATTGATCTCAGTAAGATCATCCAGTTTATTTAGTCTCCCCTATCTTTCGGATAAATGTCTTTCCCAGAGACTTTGGCACCTCAAGTATTACTTTTGTTTTTATTTCATAGGCTTTTAAACTGGTTTTTAAATTAACGTCAATTCACATTGCTTCAGTTTTTGAATGGCCACCTTGTAGCTGAATACAGCTGTTTTATTTTGCATTTCATTTGATTTTATTATCTATACAGCAAGAAAAAGGGGGGAAGGAGCACATTGTATTCAGGAACTCTTGGCAAGGAGAGAGATAACATGAGAGGGATAAACAACTGAGGAAATACGGAGGCAACGGTTAGCCAAAAAAAGGGGGGAAGGGTTACGTTTGGCTTAAGAATTTGTGATGAGGAGATGACTAGTGATACATATACAGATAAGGGGAGTAGAAAAAGTATAGATACCAACGCTAAGGATACATCCAAAACACAGCCCAATCATCTAGGACCAGTGACGAGGTCCAGGAGCCGAGTGCAAACACTGATCAACCCTATAAAAGTCTCTCTCATTGACTAGCATTAAGCGCTGACGATGTCGGTAGTTTTCTGATGAAAGCTTGGTAACTTTTCTAGTTTAAATTTTTCCTGGTGTTCATGTTTGGTTCGTTTTTTGCAGTATGAGTATACCCAGGAATCATATTTTTAATGATATTACTGATACACACACACACACACGGTATCAATTAAAAATATTATATATATATATATATATATATATATATATATATATATATATATATATATATATATATATATATATATCAGCTGATTTTTTGTTGCCCAGCCCCAGAATGGACTTCCGGAAGAGGTATCTACACAGAGATCCAGTTGTTCACATATTTGAATCCCACCACTGGTTCCAAGAAAGCCTTTTGCAAATCACTGCTTGAGCAAGATTTCACATTTTTGTTTATAATACTACCACTGCACCTCTACAGTGATGGCAAATTCATACCACCTTTCCTTTCCTCCATTACCGCTTCATTAATAGAGAGGGAGAGATTCCAATTAGATGGACATGGCCATGAATAATCAAGAGGAGTTGTAGTTGTTTATGTTTGAACGTAAGATATGAGCATGCATTAATGGGTTTGACAAGGAGCCACATTTTTGGCAGAGTTTTAACAGAGCTACTTTTTAGTCCTGAAATCTGATATTTTTTTCAATTATCACTGTTGGGGACTGAACATTTGATCTTTATTGTGTGAAGCATATGCCCTCCCAAGGACTTATTTCTTTAAAGAAGGTGTGACAACAAATAAGCCAGCAGCCTTTCATTTATTATTTGATGCTTCAGGCTTTTTTTTCCTCCCTGTTGCTACCAAAACATCTTCTAGATCAGTGTTTCCCAAACTTGACAATTTTAAGGCATGTGGACTTCAACTCCCAGAATTCCACAGCCAGCAACGTCAAGTTTGGGAAACACTGTTCTAGATACTAAAGAAAATCTGGTTTTGTGAGTGGCATACACCTTCGGAAAAAAGCAATAAAACAGAACCACTTTTAGAAGACTGAAGAAACCAAAGTAAGCCCTGTTGCAAGCTTAGAATGAGAACGACGCAAAAAGGAAAAGCAAGGAGGAGGGGAGGAGGAAAAACCAAACACATAGTACCACCTCCAAAAATCACAATTATAATTCCTAGAATGTCCAGCTGGAACGAAAGGAAACTACATAAAACTAATAGTGTGCATGTATCTCAAGTAAGTTCACGGGAACTTCCACCGATTCCTTTCTTTTAATCTTGTTTTTCTGAACAACTCAGCAGCTAGCTATACCTTTGACAACGGGTTATTATACAGTTATAGGTAGTTCATCCTATTAAACTCTGCACTCTAAAATGATTTCCTGGCAAAAGCCCAATGTTACTATTCCTGCTATTGTCCAAAGAAGAGCATCAAGGCTGTTCCACTTCCTGTTTTCCTATCATTTGGAAACTTAATAGCCCCAAAGAGTTCTTTAACTCAAATAAGCCCTTTTACCTGTTTTTCTCAGTGGGAAGTGCTCTGGAGAATCTCTGGAATTGTTGGGGACAGGAGGAAAGAAAGTAGGGAGCATAGGATTTGGTGGGCCTTCATGTTCCATTGGCTCCAAGGACCTGGATAAAGCATAAGAGATTTTTGATAAAGATTAAGGGAATGAGCCTGTGGGTTAGGAAGTCTCCAGTTCAAATTTAGCCTCCGTGCCAAGATTCTCTAGAGTCAGCCAATAATTCACTACTGAAAGTAATTTCAGAGATTAATCTCTAGAGGTAGCAATGTTACTGTTCAATTGCAAATGTCAGAATTCAAACTGGTCATTACTACCTGCAAAGCCCATGGTTGGCTTCTGAGCAAATCTCTCAGAACTGTTTCTAGATCAAAGCTGGATCATGGTCACAACTTGCAGAATTGAGTCACGAAGAAATAAGCTGAGGTGGTGTTACATTTTTCCTTCAGAAGCATCGCAAACAAGTAGTTCTGAAAGCCCTGCTCAACTTTGTTCTTCTGAGCCAGTCAGTGCCATTCAAGGTTGCGGTTTCAAGAAGATCCACCTGTCTCCTTGTGTAAATAATGATTACAAGTGGCTTAAGAACTTAAGTTTGATACTTTTCATCAAAATGTGGAAGATGACAGGATGAAAGAGCAATTGCATTGTGATGGATTTTCAGTGTTCTTTCCAATTATGAGATCACTGTCTTCTGAAAAAGGATTCTGTATCTTGGGGAATGTTCAGTATCTGTAGGATTGTGTAAGGTTGATTTTTTCCCCTCTCCTTTGTTCTCTGGAAACCCTGACAAATTTGCCCATTCAGGGAAGAGAAGGCACAAAAAATTTCAATCTGCTGTACCTGTTTCATCGCTTAATCAACAATTATTGCTTATATTGCCTCTCTCCCCCCCTTAGCCTTACCCTTTTCGATTGTAATAAGGAAACAGTACATACAGACCATATTGGACTTGCACCCCACATTGGCCCCAGAAATAAATTTTAAAATAATTAAACAGTTTTGTTTGGAAGCAAGGCTGGATTACCTTCTGGGCCTGATGCCCAAGGCCAGCTCAAAATCTTCCAAAGGTTTATGAAAAAGTGTTACCCACCATGACCTCTGTCAAAATACTGTTGCCTTTTTTTTGAGAGTGTGTGACAGGCCCCAAGTCACCCACTTGCTTTTGTTTTGTCTAAGCAAGTCTAGACTCATGAACTCTTGGTTCTAGCTTGGTGCTTTTAAGAACTATATCAAAGTGGCATTTATACTTTGTGTACACTAATTTTACACTTAATTTTAGGATCCTGCACTAGGGGACTGCTTAAAGCCTACAAAGACCTTAATTTAATCTTATACAGATATATGATTATGAATCAAAAAGAGGAGCTAAGCTTGGCTTAGGGGCCATTCCTGAGGGGCTAACAGAGAAACATGCCACCAATTGGCTTCCTAGTATTTTGTGATTGTCTATGACAACTATTGCAGCAATTCTGAGAAGGTGTTTGCCTTCCTTTGCATGATGATCATTTGAGGAAGCACTCATGACATGCTTTCCAACCAACCACACATCCAAACTATTCACTATATCCCTGTTTTCCAAAATCATTGAAAATCTGGCCAAGCACTATAGCTGGTTCTGTGACTGGTGTTTTCGAGGATCAAACTCCACTGGGCTCATTCAGCAAGACCAATTCTTGCACAAAACCACAGTTTAACCATAAGTTATCCTGGCCTCCCACAACCTGGCTGGGGATGACAGGGGTCCTAGTCCAACATATCTAGTTTGCTTTAGATTGAAAGGGGTACTGCCTTTTTGTTATAGGGTATGTGTATTTGGGTGCATTTAAAGAAGCACTCCCCATCCTGATCTGAAATACTTCTCAGAAGGAAACTTTTTTTCCATGCCTGTCCAGGGCCCCAACAGGAAACTAAAGCCAGTGAAAGTCAGCAGAGTTGAGTAGCTTCCCCCTCTATAGCAACACCCAAAGTGCTGTGTCTGGAACTAGGTCAAGGACTTTAGCAAGGGTGTAACAATAGAGAAGAAAACAGGACACTGGGGGTGTGGCCAACTAGCCCCGAACAACACAAGCAGAAAAATGATCTTAACTGCAAAAGATCTACCAAGGGATGTAATTCAACCCACAAAGATCAAGATCCCAGGGCTATTAACAGGCTCGTTTGCTGTTTCACAGGACACATCCATGAAACAGTAAAGGCAGGTTATGGTGCTGTAAAACAAAGTTCCTCATAGTGCTTCTAAAAATATGTGAGGCAGTAAAGTGAGTGAGGCAAGTTTGCAAGGAAGTCAAGTCCTGTAAAATATAGCCAGAGCTGGAAAGGGCCATCCCACTAGATGAATGTTATCAGTTTAAGCAGAGTGACATCTATCATGGATAAATGCCATGAGAAATCAAGGACATCTAACTTTGATTAAACTGGGGTGCGATGCAGGATACCGCATCGACCCAATCAGTCAACCATCCCCTTTTTTACACCCTAAAAGTCTTTCTAATTAGATTCAGAATCTCAGAATTAGAATCAGAATAGAGCTGGAGGAACCTTGGAGGTCTTCTAGTCTAACCTCCTGCTCAAGCAAGAGACCTTATACCATTTCAGATAGGTGGATATATCCAGCCTTTTCTTAAAAACCTCTAGTGATGAAGCCCCTACAACTTCTGAAGGCAAACTGTTCCACTAGTTAATTGTTCTCACTGTTAGGAAGTTTCTCCTTAGTCCGAGGTTGCTTCTCTCGATTAGTTTCCATCCATTGTTTCTTGTCTTGCCTTCTGTGCTTTGGAAAATAAGTTGACCCCCTCTTCTTTGTCGCAGCCCCTCAAATACTGGAATACTGCTATCATGTCACCCTAGTCCTTCTTTTCTCTAGACTGGCCACACCCAATTCCTGCAACCATTCTTCATGTGTTTTTGTCTCTAGGCTCTTAATCCTCTTAATTGCTCTTCTTTGCACTTTTTCCCCAAAGTCTCAATATCTTTTTGGTAATGTGACCAAAACTGGATGCAGTATTCCAGAAGTCGTCTTACTAAGGATTTATAAAGTGGTACTAATACTTCATGTGATTTTGATTCTATGCCTCTGATTATACAACCAAGGATTGTATTAGGTGCTGTTGCCGCACACTGCTAGCTCATATTTAAATGATCATTCACTAGGACTCCCTCTCACAGTTACTGTTTTTGAGCCAGGTGCCTAGGTGTAAAACCTTGCTTTTCTCCACATTAAATTTCATGTTGTTGGATAGGCCCCATTGTTCAAGTCTGTCAAGATCTTTTTTGGATCCTGAGCTTGTCTTCTCGGGTTTGGCTATTCCTGCCAGCTTAGTGTCATCTGCAAATTTGATGAGTTCCCCTTCTATTCCCTCATCATTTCTGCAACTTGTATTGGTCATGTTGTTTGGGGACAATGGAAACTGTAGCAAGAAAAAATTCTTAAGATGACATTAATAAGTCTGTTGATGTTCCAGCATGTGAGGTTTGCCAATTTATTTCTAGAACCAGGTTACCTGTATGGCATGATGGGAGCATTAGTCCTTTCCAGAGCAGCTTGTTGTTTTTTCAGGATGACCTCTGCCAGCTTCTGTTTCACAACCATACTTGCTACAGCACCTGTTGAACAAAAATACAGCTGGTAATTACAAGGAGACATCACAAACTAGCTATGGTACTCATCTCTAATTTCCCAATTTGGTAGCTCCTGAAAATGGATTCCCCTGTTCAAACACACCCCCAAATATTTGACTGGATTCAAACATAGGGAAGGTTTTTTCATTAAAGCCACCGAGATCCCACAGGTGGGATGTAAATCTAAACAGATAAATAAAGTAAGAAGGCGTTTCAAGAAATAAGAGACAGATCTTGCTGAGAGAAAATTAAGATTCTGGTAGGATGTGAAGATTTTATCTCTTTATCCTCAAAAGGCATCATTCAGAGACATACTGCAAGTTCCTCTGTTTCCCTGATAATTGCAGAAATGGCCTTGTAGAAGTCTTCTCTCTCTCTTGTTTCATCTCAGTGTTGTCTAAATGACCAGCAAGGAACCCCCACAATTTTGGGATGGGGTCTTTCCCAGCTCTCTTTTCCTAGGGATAATACAGACAAAATCTGGCAAACAAGACAAAAGCAGACATTCTACCAACTAATTCTGTCCATCAAAACCTGTATCAAACCCCAGTCATTTACAATTTTCCGAATTAGTAGTCTTCTACCATTTGTGTCATTAAGTCAGGATTGCATCATCTTTCCTTCTTTGGGTCCAGGATCATGTTTGGTCAGGGCAAGGGAAAAAATAGCAAAACTAATTTATTTTTAATTAAATCACACATCCATTTTCACTCAAAGCTATCAATATATCTAGATTCTAGCATATGATGACGGGGTGAAATAGGTTTATTAAGTGGAACAGAGTAGAACATAATAAACTACAGCTACAGTCATGGCTACTTCAACATTGTAACAAGAGGAAGAAAAGATTGCTAAGTATATGAACAACGCTGATGAAAGGCTGATCTTTAATCACCATCTTTCAAAGCTTGTTCATGCATGAAACTATGAAATGGCTGCCCTTAGCAACATTCCAATAAGTATCTCACACACTTTCTGATCAAATACAGCTTGCCTGCTAGTTTTGAAAAAGAATACCATATTCAATCTCCCAGCAAGGAAATTCTACTGCAATATCAACAGCAAGTCACTTTCCAGATTTAAGAAAAGCAGTCTGGAAAAGAGCACCACAGCAAGTGCAACATCCAGTAGGAAATTGAAATCAGACCAACAAAAACAGGCAGGGAATTTCAAAATCTATTTTACTCAAAGAAACAGCAATAGAGCAGGACCTGCCGCCTTGGCCTAAGACAGTGGTTCTCAACCTGTGGGTCGGGACCCCATTTGGGGTCGAATGACCATTTCACGGGGGTCGCCAAACCACGCTGTCCGCCATTTTTTTCCCTTTTCCCTAGCTGTCCTACTCCCTCTTATTGGTGGCCACACCCACTTGGGGGTCACCACAACATGGGGAACTGCATTATGGGGTCACGGCATTAGAAAGGTTGAGAACCACTGGCCTAAGAGCACATTTGAGCTATAGAAGGATAGGCCCCCTGTTAAGGATGTAAGATCAATGTTATATTCCTTAAGAACCCTACTCTGATTTGGCCTCGCTGAAGTAACTCTTCCCAGATCTCCCCAAGGAAAATCATGCAACTTAACATATCAGGGCTAGGCTGTGTTGCTACAAAACCATCGACAAGGTGCTGAATGGCGTGGGAAGTGGCTGCAGGGAATTCCCAGGCATGTATCACCCAGCAGATCTTTAAAGTAGCCTCCTCTGTTGCCTGTGAGTGGATGTGTAATTTCAATAGGGCTGGGCCATATTGCCGCACAACCAGCCAGCAGAACATTTTAGATGGCAGCCCTGGCTTAAGATCAAGGAGGCTTAGACTACCGGGCACACCTTGATTGCTCAGCTTCAATTCCTCTAACTATAAAATGGGAATATTATTGACCTTGCTTTAAGTAATGCTGTGAGGATGGTTGCCAGGTTCCTTTTTAAAATTGTATTTCCGATGAAAAAATTAATAAGTGCATTATTTCAGTTCTGTTGGATATGGAAGTAATTCACGGGCAGACACAAATAACAAATCTCTTTGTTATTTTCTGATTATTTTCAGCCAATAAGTACTTTGCCGTTTGTGATTTTTATAAGAATTTTATGAACACAATGAGAGGTAAGCAAAGACACGAGGGGAGGAAAGGTGTAACAATATTTATTCAACATTTTTGTTTTTATTATTAACAACAATAACTTGCTACGGCTTGTAAGTGCTATCTTAAATCGTATTTCATCTCTCATTTCAAGACACCATAAAAGAAGTTGGCAGAATGCAAGGGGAGCAGAAAATCATGCATCCCCCTAGCCAAGATAGAAACTGCAAATAACATCATTCTAAATGAAGGGAGAACAGTCTGAACAGTTATTATTTTTTTTTTGTCAGTGCTATAGTAACAGACTGAGGTACTGTCAAGCATTCTTATTATTAAGAAAGCAGATTTCAACTGCACATCAGGAAGAATATTTAGCTGAAATCCTATGTTTTGGGGAAAATAGAGAACCAGCCTGCTTTATTTCTATATGACCACCTTTGGGTCATTTGAAATTCAGCCCTGGTAGTGCTATTCATTCTTCTTTTCTGCAGGATGAATTCACCCTGCTCTTTCAACCAACCCTCATTTCATCTGATTTTCACATCACTCTCCTTATCCTGGTTGACTTCCTTCAGGGTCTTTAAAATGCAGCATCCAGAACCAGATTCACTATTCCTGCTGCAATTTGAACAATGCATTGTAGAACCAACCAGTTACTTCTCCTGACCTGGCACTGACATGTTACTTTTGATGGCTGTTGCCTCACACTCCTGGCTCATGCTTACAATGTGATCAATTAAGATATGTAGCCAAATTCCTTTCACACGTACTGCCAAATCCAATTCTATCTTAAGTCACAGTCAAACTTGCTTAGTGTCTCTGAGTGATTCAGGTGACTTATGAGTGGGATTTGCACTCACTCACCCACTCACACTATTACCACTGAAATAAAACCAAAGGTATATAATTAGGAAGAAAAGCATTTGAATTAGCTCAGGATTTCTTCTTAAGATGCTACTGATTTTAAAGTCTTGCACTTAGGCTGTTTTGCAAATTCTCACTAAAAAGCAAAATAAAACCAGGTGTAATCTGGAAGGCACTTTGTCTGAAAGATGTATGGATTTTTATTGTTGAGAATGGCACCCTGATATTTTTTTTTTTTATTGAAAGTTTTATAAATTTTACAAAAAAGGAAAAATAATACAAAACAAGAGGCAACATATACAGAAAAATAAAACTAAACAATACATATATTAAATAAAAAAAAAAACCCCATCCCCCAGCCCTCCCCCCCCCCAAAAAAAAAACCCTCCCTTCCCCCCCCCTGAGCTTCCCAGAGCAGAATATAGGCTTAAAAAATAAAAATAAAAATTAAATTAAAAACTTTATATTTATATATATAAAAAAATTATCTATAATATATATGAAAATAAAACTTATGAAAAAACTATATAATATTTTTGTATACCCAATCTAAATTGTATAAATTTTATCCATTTATCCCAAACAGCAAAAAACTTCTCTTGCGTTTGTTGCTTTAAGAAAGCCGAAATCTTTGCCATTTCTGCGAGATAAGCTACTTTAAAAAACCATTCCTGCAATGTAGGCAAAGATTCCTTCTTCCAGTATTGTCCTACTAACAGCCTAGCGGCTGTGATCAAGTTTAACATCAATACAACCTCCTTTGTATCACAATCTGTAACAATACCTAACAAAAATAATTGCGGAGTAAATTTTACCCTCCTTCTAAAAATTCTCTGGATATTCCACCATATTTTAATCCAAAATGCTTTTATCTCTCTGCATGACCACCAAATATGATAATAAGAAGCCTCCTTATAACCACATCTCCAACATTTGGGTTGCACGTCAGGATACATATAAGACATTTTTTGTGGATCAAGGTGCCATCTATAAAACATTTTATAAAAATTCTCCCTTAAGTTCTGTGCTTGAGTAAATTTGACATTTCTCACCCAAATAGTTTCCCAGGTGTCCAATGAAACTGGCTCACCAAAATTCTGCGCCCATCTAATCATACAATCTTTAATTAGTTCCGTTTCTGAGTCCAATTCAACTAAAACCCCATAAATTCTCTTAATGTGGGTTTGTCTTTGATCCTTCAATTGCTTAATAAGGTTTTCATCTTCTCTAAGAAAACCCACCTTACAATCCATCTTCCATCTATCTAATAATTGCCTATATTGGAACCAAGAATAAGTAAAATTTTCTTGTGCTAACTCTTCCCGTGATTTTAATTGCCAGTTTTGTCCATCCCATTTAAGTAACTGTCTATAAGACACCATATCCATTTTAACCCCTCTTTTTATTCCTTCTATCGCATGCCAAGGTATAGCCCATAATGGTACTTTAAAATCACTTTTATAATATTTTCTCCAAATCCTAAGTAAAGAAATTCTTAAAATATGAGATTTAAAAGCCCAATCTATTTTTTTATTAAATATTAAATAGGCATGCCACCCATAAAGTAAATCCCATCCCTCTAAGTAAAGTATCTCAGAATTTGTCAAATTTACCCAATCACTAATTAATGTTAAAACCACCGCATCATAATATAATTTCAAATTTGGTACCTTAAGTCCACCCCTCTCACGGAAGTCTTGCATAATTTTAAACTTAACCCTTGGTTTTTTCCCTGCCCAAATAAATTTGTTGAGACCCTTCTGCCACTCATTTAAATTAATCTCATTTTTCAAAATTGGTAACATTTGAAACAAAAAAAGAAACTTGGGTAGAATATTCATTTTTATCACTGCAATTCTTCCCATGAGGGATAATTGCAACTTTTCCCAATTCTTCAAGTCCTTCTGTACCCTGACCCACAACCTTTCATAATTATTTTTAAATAATTTTGCATTAGAAACAGACAGCATCACCCCCAAATATTTTACCTTATTAACAATCTCAAAACCCGTCAAGTTGACCAAAATCTGCTTCTCCTGACT